GCCAGTGAATGATGTGGTGTACTCCTCAATGCCATCGGAAGAATCCCGGAACATATTCCAGTCTGTGCTAGCAAAACAGTCCTATAGCTTAGCATCTGCTTCATCTGACCACTTTTTTATTGACCGAGTCACTGGTGCTTCCTGCTTTAGTTTAGCTTGTAAGCAGGAATCAGGAGGATAGAATAATGGTCAGATTTGCCAAATGGAGGACGAGGGAGAGCTTTGTACGTGTCTCTGTGTGTGGAGTAAAGGTGCTCTAGAGTTTTTTTCCCTCTGGTTGCTCATTTAACATTCTGGTAGAAATGAGGTAAAGTCCCCGGCCACTAGGAGCGCCGCCTTTGGATTAGCGTTTTCCTGTTTGCTTATGGCCGTGTACAGTTCATTGAGTGTGGTCTTAGTGCCAGCATCGGTTTGTGGTGGTAAATAGACAGCTACGAAGAATATAGATGAAAACTATCTTGGTAGATAGTGTGGTCTACAGCTTATCATGAGATACTCTACCTCAGGCGAGCAAAACCTCGAGACTTCCTTAGATATCGTGCACCAGCTGTTGTTTACAAATATACATAGACCGCCACCCCTTGTCTTACCAGAGGCTGCTGTTCTATCCTGCCAATACAATGTATAACCCGCCAGCTGTATGTTATTCATGTCGTCGTTCAGCCACGACTTGGTGAAACATAACATATTACAGTTTTTAATGTCCTGTTGGTAGGATATATACGTGCTTGTAGTTCATCCACTTTATTATCAAGTGATTATACGTTGGCCATTAGTACCGATGGCAAAGGCAGATTAGCCACTCGTCGCCGGCTCCTTACCAGGCACCTCGATCTCCTTCCGCGATATCGCTGTCTCTTTCTACTGTGAATGACGGGGATGAGGGCCCTGTCGGGTGTCTGGAGGAAATCCCTCTCGTACGACTTATTAAAGAAAAATAATTTGTCCAGTTCAAGCTGAGTAATCGCTGTTCTGATGTCCAAGCTCTTTTCGGTCATATGAGACGGTAGCAGCAACATTATATACAAAATAAGTTACAAACAATGCGAAAGAACAAACAAAATAGCACGGTTGGATAAGAGCCCATAAAACGGCAGCCATTCCCTCCGGCGCCATTCTGCCAGATGTGCAAAGCTGATACAGACATACCCACAGACGACTCGAAGCTGAAAAGCTACCAAAGGTGCTTCTACAAAGTATTGACTCGTGGTGTGAATTACATTTTTCTGTATTATTTTTCATTACATTAGCGAAAATGTCTAAAAATATGTTTTCACTTTGTCATTATGGGGTATTGTGTGTAGATGGGTGAGGAGAGAAATAAAATACTTAATAAATGTTGAATTCATGCTGTAACACAAAATGTGGAAGAAGTCAATGGGTATGAATGCTTTCTGAAGGCACTGTAGCTGCCTAGTGGTGAAAAGGCAAGCTCACAAATCAGTTTGTATCTCCGCTCTCACAAGACCTAATGGTTCATTTAAAGGGATAGTTTGGGATTTTGGCAATGAAGCCAAAAGTCAGATGAACTTGTGGATACTATTTCTATGTCTCTGCATTCAGTTTGAAGGAGGTTGCCAACTAGCATTAGCACAATTGCTAACTAGCGTTAGAGCAATGACTGGACGTCTATGGAAACAGCTAGCATGCTAGTTAGCATTGGCTCGCGAAGTCAGAAGTAAAAATACACCTTAGCCAAATACATTTAAACTCAGTTTTTCACAATTCCTGATATTTAATCCTAGTAAAGATTCCCTGTCTTAGGTCAGTTAAGATCACCACTTTATTTGTGAAATGTCAGAATAATAGTAGAGAGAATGATTTATTTAAGCTTTTATTTCTTTCATCACATTCCCAGTGGGTCAGAAGTTTACATACACTCAATTAGTATTTGGTAGCATTGCCTTTAAATTGTTTAACTTGGGTCAAACGTTTCTGGTAGCCTTCCACAAACTTCCCACAATAAGTTGGGTGAATTTTGGCCCATTCCTCCTGACAGAGCTGGTGTAACTGAGTCAGGTTTGTAGGCCTCCTTGCTCGCACACGCTTTTTCAGTTCTGCCCACAAATGTTCTATAGGATTGAGGTCAGGGCTTTGTGATGGCTACTCCAATACCTTGACTTTGTTGTCCTTAAGCCATTTTGCCATAACTTTGGAAGTATGCTTGGGGTCATTGTCCATTTGGAAGACCCATTTGCGACCAAGCTTTAACTTCCTGACTGATGTCTTGAGATGTTGCTTCAATATATTCACATAATTTTCCTTCCTCATGATGCCATCTATTTTGTGAAGTGCACCAGTCCCTCCTGCAGCAAAGCACCCCCACAGCATGATGCTGCCACCCCCGTGCTTCACGGTTGGGATGGTGTTCTTCGGCTTGCAAGCGACCCCCTTTTTCCTCCAAACAGTTCTATTTTTGTTTCATCAGACCAGAGGACATTTCTCCAAAAAGTACGATATATTAGTCCCCATGTGCAGTTGCAAACCGTAGTCTGGCTTTTTAATGGCCGTTTTGGAGCAGTGGCTTCTTCCTTGCTGAGCAGCCTTTCAGGTTATGTCGATATAGGACTCGTTTTACTGTGGCTATAGATACTTTTGTACCAGTTTCCTCCAACATTTTCACAAGTCCTTTGCTGCAGTTCTGGGATTGATTTGCACTTTTCGCACCAAAGTACGTTCTTCTCTAGGAGACAGAACGCGTCTCCTTCCTGAGCGGTATGACGGCTGTGTGGTCCCATGGTGTTTAAACTTGCATACTATTGTTTGTACAGATGAACGTGGTACCTTAAGGCATTTGGAAATTGCTCCCAAGGATGAACCAGACTTGTGGAGGTCTACAATTTTTTTTCTGAGATCTTGGCTGATTTATTTTGATTTTCCCATGATGTCAAGCAAAGAGGCACTGAGTTTGAAAGTAGGCCTTGAAATACATCCACAGGTACACCTCCAATTGACTCAAATGATGTCAGTTAGCCTATCAGAAGCTTCTAAAGCCATGACATTTTCTGGAATTTCCCAAGCTCTTTAAAGGCACAGTCAACTTAGTGTATGTAAACTTCTGACCCACTGGAATTGTGATACAGTGAATTATAAGTGAAATAATCTGTCTGTAAACAATTGTTAGAAAAATTACCGACTTGCCAAAACTATAGTTTTTAACAAGAAATTTGTAGAGTGGTTGAAAAACGAGTTTTAATGACTCTAACCTAAGTGTATGTAAACTTCCGACTTCAACTGTACCTCTAGCTTCCTTCATACTGGACACAGATGCATAAAACATGGTATCCACGTGTTCATATGACTCTGGGGAAAATTCCTAACTATCCCTTTAATGGTTTTCCTTCCAGACAGAATTGATTAGATCTTCATTGGTTCCTTGTGAGTGAATGATCATTAATGATTGTGGATCGTTGTTTCCTGTCTGTAGGGCCAGGTCGTGTGAATAAGGCTTGATGTAATGAGTTTCTCTGGAATGTTAAGTGTCCTGTCGGTTGGCTTTGTAAATAATTTGCTGGAGTAGGTGTTGCTCACTAATCCTCCTATTATAGATCATTGAAAGCGACATGTCGGGCCGACATGTTGATTGTGTAGGTCCATTACTGTTTTACAGTTCACTTGCTCGCGAGACCGAAGGAGAAAGTAGAATTAGTCGCGGGGCGGCTACAGCGGTATTTTTAGGAAACCTGTCGGAATGCCTCAGTCAGTTCATCTGCACTGACGTGGAATATAAATGTTGTTTGACAAGCTCCTGCAAAAAGGCTGTGTCTGTATGAGGGTGTGTGAGAGAGGGAAAGTGTCTATTTGCAAAGCTGTACCTGCCCCACTAGCCCGGGGGGTTGAAACCACGCTTACTACTCCCTCCCCCTTTTCACTGAACAATACCCTGCCCATGCTATGGACCCAGGAAGTGAAAGAGAGAGAGACTCTGCCTGCCTGCTACAAAACACTCTGGGAGAACCTCTTCTTTTGTGTCTGTTTTGAGAGACAGGATAGACAGTGAAAGGCAGGCTGGGGTATTAGTAGAGACAGGGAGAGGGCAAGAGGGAGGGACATGGAGCTAGAATGAGCTAGAAAAGTGTGGTGACAAACAACAGAAAGACGCTAAAGAGAGGCTACAGGGATAGATCAAGAATAAGAGGGAGAATGAAAGAGGGAGAGAGAGATTGACAGAAGAGAAAGAAGGGCAGTGAGAGCCCCTCTGGATCAGGCGGCTTCAGAGTTCACCCTTGGTTGGCTGCCCATTGTGTAAAGCAATTAAGAGGGGACCAGGAGGCTTCCCTTCCCTGCGGGTCGGTGCTGCGTTGCCGTGGCGGCACGGAATTGTTAATGAGCTTCCAGAGGGAGGGAGAGGGTGAGCGAGGGTGTGGGAGTGAGTACTGCTGAGGGGCAGGGTCACGCTGTGCTTTGAGACAGTGAGCAAAATAGACAGAGAGAAAAGTCTGACAGAGAGAGGTGCACAGGATCTTAAAGCTAGGTTTCTCTTTATTTTACCCCCCTCAGTTGTCCCAGGATTCACTTGTGCAAGATGTGACTTCAAACTTTCTCCCCCAGGAAGGATTACTTTTCCCCTACACGAGGAGAAGCACTACCGGTATCTCTTCTTTTCTGACTTGAATCTTTGTTTTGTTGTTTCAAGGGAGGACCTCATTCTCAGTATTTACCTGGGACCTGTTTTGTTATCTCTTCACCATTGTACGCCATGTGTGTGGATCTGATTCTAAGCTGCGACTCATGTGTTTACCCAAGGCTCTGTGCGTGGCTGCTCCGTAGAGACCGTTGCCTAGAGCCCGGCTACGTCGTCGGGACTCGTCTGCTCGCCGTTGCTGTTCCTCCTTGGGCCTCCGCTGAAGACTCCATCCATGGCAGCAGTTGCATTGTAGAGGCTGAAAGGAACACCAGATAATTCATATAACCCATGAACATTTGTAGGGAAGAGAATGGAAAGCACTACAAGGATAAACTAGTAGGTCATTGAAAACCGTTGAAAATTGTCCACCACCATGGATTCCTACCGCTCGTACTGGAATTCGAGCCACCAGGCCATGTGGGTGGAAGGGGAAGATCAGGATGTGTACGAGGTGGAATCTCGCGTGCCCCTGCCCCGGCCTTTCCCCCTCTCCAGCGTCCTCACTGAGAAAAACGCAGTAGTGGTACAGACGCAAATATCGCACGTCAACCACAGAACCAATGGTCACCTCCTTAAGGTGATCTCTAAGATCTCCCTCCCCACACCGCCCTATACAGTAAGTTTACATTCAGCTGCTGACCTGCCGTGTAACCTGTATGGAACTGTACAACTTGTGAAGAGTAACTGGACAGTTACTCTGCTGTCTTATTTATCTGAATGAAAGTGTTTTTCATTTGGCTGACTGGATGCTCTAAGCAGCAGTTTTGTCAATTATTTTATACAGTTCATAACATGACCTACCCCCCTGCTATACGGCTATATACAAGAAAATCACATTGTAGGATTTGTTATGAATTTATTTGCAAATTATGGTGGAAAATAAGTATTTGGTCAATAACAAAAGTTTCTCAATACTTTGTTATATACCCTTTGTTGGCAATGACACAGGTAAAACATTTTATGTAAGTCTTCACAAGGTTTTCACACACTGTTGCTGGTATTTTGGCCCATTCCTCCATGCAGATCTCCTCTAGAGCAGTGATGTTTTGGGGCTGTCGCTGGGCAACACGGACTTTCAACTCCCTCCAAAGATTTTCTATGGGGTTGAGATCTGGAGACTAGCTAGGCCACTCCAGGACCTTGAAATGCTTCTTACGAAGCCACTCCTTCGTTGCCCGGGCGGCGTGTTTGGGATCATTGTCATGCTGAAAGACCCAGCCACGTTTCATCTTCAATGCCCTTGCTGATGGAAGGAGGTTTTCACTCAAAATCTCACGATACATGGCCCCATTCATTCTTTCCTTTACACGGATCAGTCGTCCTGGTCCCTTTGCAGAAAAACAGCCCCAAAGCATGATGTTTCCACCCCCATGCTTCACAGTAGGTATGGTGTTCTTTGGCTGCAACTCAGCATTATTTGTCCTCCAAACACGATGAGTTGAGTTTTTACCAAAAATTTATATTTTGGTTTCATCTGACCATATGACATTCTCCCAATGATCTTCTGGATCATCCAAATGCACTCTAGCAAACTTCAGACGGGCCTGGACATGTACTGCCTTAAGCAGGGGGAAACGTCTTGCACTGCAGGATTTGAGTCCCTAGCGGCGTAGTGTGTTACTGATGGTAGGCTTTGTTACTTTGGTCCCAGCTCTCTGCAGGTCATTCACTAGGTCCCCCCGTGTGGCTCTGGGATATTTGCTCACCGTTCTTGTGATCATTTTGACCCCACGGGGTGAGATCTTGCGTGGAGCCCCAGATCGAGGGAGATTATCAGTGGTCTTGTATGTCTTTCATTTCCTAATAATTGCTCCCACAGTTGATTTCTTCAAACCAAGCTGCTTACCTATTGCAGATTCAGTCTTCCCAGCCTGGTGCAGGTCTACAATTTTGTTTCTGGTGTCCTTTGACAGCTCTTTGGTCTTGGCCATAGTGGAGTTTGGAGTGTGACTGTTTGATGTTGTGGACAGGTGTCTTTTATACTGATAACAAGTTCAAACAGGTGCCATTCATACAGGTAACGAGTGGAGGACAGAGGAGCCTCTTAAAGAAGAAGTTACAGGTCTGTGAGAGCCAGAAATCTTGCTTGTTTGTAGGTGACCAAATACTTATTTTCCACCATAATTTGCAAATAAATTCATTAAAAATCCTACAATGTGATTTTCTGGATTTTTTTTTCTCTATTTGTCTGTCATAGTTGACGTGTACCTATGATGAAAATTACAGGCCTCTCTCATCTTTTTAAGTGGGAGAACTTTCACAATTGGTGGCTGACTAAATACTTTTTTTCCCCACTGTATACACGTGTACATTATACAGCTAACTTGCTCGTAAGCAATATTTTTGACTGGGCAACTTGTGCAGTGAAAAACGCAGTGAGAGTATCGTATACCGTCCTAGATCTCCCTATTCTGCTTTTATCTGAGCAGGTGATCATGTGAAGTGAGCAAAAAATTACTCCCAAGATTTCATTGTGGCACGGTCATGTGACTACATCCTGGTTGTCATAATGTTGCAGTATGACCTTTGCTGCTGTGGGAGTCTCGCCCTGTTAAACCAACTGCATGTGAATTGTGGTGCTTATAAGTCAGTGGTTTATTGCACAATAGCAATTCCATGCTAATTCAGCCAGGAAAGAAGGCTTTTGTGAATGCGTCACCGGGCAATGTCTACTAGACCTGTCTCATCTACACTACCGGTCAAAAGTTTTAGAACACCTACTCATTCAAGGGTTTTTCTTTATTTTTTCTATTTTCTACATTGTATAATAATAGTGAAGACATCAAAACTATGAAATAACACATATGGAATCATGTAGTAACCCCAAAAAAGTGTTAAACAAATCAAAATATTTTTTATATTTGAGATTCTTCAAATAGCCACCCTTTGCCTTGATGACAGCTTTGCGCACTCTTGGCATTCTCTAGTAAAAATAAAGAAAAATCCTTGAATGAGTAGGTGTTCTAAAACTTTTGACCGGTAGTGTATGTCCGAAGGTAAAGGGCTAAGAATGAAATGGCATTTCATAGATGTTATGTTGGTTCCTTGATGAATGTCAAACTGGGGCGTAGGTTTACTCATTTTAATAAGAATACTGATATGGCATGCATTTTCACCAACAGAACTTTATAGAAAACGACAGCATGTGTACAGTTATCCCACCATGATAAGGCAATAGGCCTAGTTGTAGCTATGCAGGTTCAATATGTTAGAATTTGAAGCGAGTGAGAGAATATTTACAATGTCATGATGTGCCACTGTACAACTCAAGACTTACCGCTGAACTGTATACGGCTAACCATCTCCACCTCCTTGTGCATTGCCCTGTAGTTATTGAGGTTCCCTACTCCTTTAAGCATAGCGACACATGCCATGTGTGTTGTGAACCCACTGTTCCCCGCTGTGTATCTTGTGTGCTAAGTGTAATTTTGTTTCTCCCATTATCCTGAAGTGGGCCTACAGTTTTGATTGATTGGTCCTACTTTTTTTACTTTCACTTAGGACACTAACTGGAAACCATTACTGGTGATCATAAATATTACATTATACTTACTGTCACAAGGCTCAGCATATTGTTATTAATGAAAGGTTATGTCCGTAAATGACCGCAGAGTAGCCCATTCATTCATGGCATGGTATATATTAAAATATATGCCATGTGCCATTTAGCAGATGATTTTATCCAAAGCAACTTTCAGTGCACTGAGTACATACATTTTTTGTATATGTGATCCCAGCAGGTATCGAACCGACAACCCTGGTGTTGCTAGTGCCACACTCTTACCAACTGAGCCACACTGTGTGGACCAACTTGCTTCAAGGCTTTGTGTATCTGAACTTCTAATTCAGAATTATTCACCACCTCAACCAGGATTTCCTCAAAGGCTCTTTGCTCACTAAAGTAATTATCTTTGTATCTCCACCCATCTTACCAACCCTGATCAGCTGGAACATGCACGGGTCACCCAGACGGAGCTGATGCGCGAGTCCTTCCGCCATAACCAGGAAATGGGAGATCTGCTGCAGCGGCAGGAGGATCTGCAGGAGAGGCTGGGGGAGGAGGGGCGCGCCCGCGAGCAGCTGGCCCTGGAGCTCCACAGGGCAGAGGGTGAGTGGGAGGGGGTGGGTGTGTTGTGTTTGTGATGGGGTTGTTTTAAATGTGGGTCGGTGTGTGTTTGAAGGGCAGTGAGAATGCCATATGATGAGTGAAAGTGTGTGTCTGGGGTTGTTTGTGGGGGATGGTGTGTGTTGTGTGTTTTGGTGAGTCAGATGGCTAGGGGATCTGTGGGTGAAACTGAAATTAATATATACTGTAGAGAGTGTGTGAGTACTTTAGATGGCAAAGAAAATTGTGTGTGCGTAATGAAAGATTTAGCAATTCTTTGTGAACAATTACATTTCCATACACTATACCTGAAACCAAGTATTAATACAGAGATTTGTGCGCAAATTTACCATGTTTTTAATAGTGTAGTGACACATTCTGCACCATCAGCACATTCAATGCCCCATGCCATACATCCCTGTCAGAGGTAGTGATTATGATGTGACATCCCTATCAGGAACAGCTGACCGACGAGAGGGGTGACAGGTTCAAACCCGTGACACAGCCCACCTAATTCACTAACAACGCTCAGTTCCACACACTGCTAAGCAAATTAAGACATATTTACATCCATTGGCTTGTTGATAGTAACATGTACAGTGCCTTCAGAAAGTATTCACACCCCTTGACTATTTCCACATTTTGTTGTGTTACAGCCTGAATTTAAAATTAATTAATTTGAGATTTTTTGTCACTGGCCTACACACAATACTCAATGTCAAAGTGGATTTTGTACAAATTAATAAAAAATGAAAAGCTGAAATGTCTTGAGTCAATAAGTATTCAACCGCTTTGTTATGGCAAGCCTAAATAAGTAAAAATGTGCTTAACAAGTCACATAAAAGTTACATGGACTCACTCTGTGTGGAATAATAGTGTTTAACATGATTTATGAATGACTACCTCATCTCTGTACCCCACACATACAATTATCTGTAAGGTCCCTAAGTCAAGCAGTTAATTTCAAACACAAATTCAACCACAAAGACCGGGGAGGTTTTCCAGTGCCTCGTAAAGAAGGGCACCTAGTGGTTGATGGGTAAAACAAAAAGCAGACATTGAATATCCCTTTGAGCATGGTGAAGTTATTAATTACACTTTGGATGGTGTATCAATACAGCCAGTCACTAAAAAGATACAGGCGTCCTTCCCAACTCAGTTGCCGGAGAGAAAGGAAACCTCTCAGGGATTTCACCATGAGGCCAATTGTGACTTTAAAACAGTTACAGAGTTGAATGGCTGTGATAGGAGAAAAATTAGGATGTATCAACAACTAATTGACAGAGTGAAAAGAGGAAGCCTGTACAGAATACAAATATTCCAAAACATGCATCCTGTTTGCAACAAGACACTAAAGTAAAACTGCAAAATAAGTGGCAAAGCAGTTAACTTTTGGTCCTGAATACTAAGTGTTATGTTTGGGGCAAATCCAATACAACACATTACTGAGTACCACTTTCCATATTTTCAAGCATAGTGGTGGCTGCATCATGAGGACTGTGGAGTTTTTCAGGATAAAAAAAGAAACAGAATAGCAGGCAAAATCCTAGAGGGGAAACCTGGTTCAGTCTGCTTTCTAACAGACAATGGGAGATGAATTCACCTTTCACCAAGACAATAACCTCAAACACAAGTTGCTTACCAAGAAGACTTTGAATATTCCTGAGTGAGCGAGTTAGTTTTGATTTAAATCTACTCTAAAATATTTGGCAAGACCTGAAAATTGTTGTCTAGCAATGATCAATGAGCTTGAAGATTTTTTGTTAGTTATTTTTTTAAATTAATATTTTCTCCCCAATTTCGTCATATCCAATTACGATCTTGTCTCATCGCTGCAACTCCCCAACGGGCTCGGGAGAGGCGAAGGTCGAGTCATGCGTCCTCCGAAGCTTGAATAATTTTTTTAAGGAAAATGGGCAAATGTTGCATAATCCAGGTGTGGAAAGCTCTTAGAGACTTACCCAGAAATGCTCACAGCTGTAATCGCTGTCAATTGTTATTCTACAAAGTATTGACTCAGGTGTGAATACTTATGTAAATGAGATATTTCTGTATTTAATAGTCAATACATTTGCAAAAATTTCTAAGAATATGTTTTCAAATGTGGAATAAGTCAAGGGGTATGAATACTCTCTGAAGGCACTGTATAAGAAGAGGTGTTAGTATTAATAGTAACAGGCATAGCAGTTTGCATCCATTGCCAACTGAATGATGGTGAGTTTTAATGGTGATTTGTTGCTGACATCAAATGTGCATAAAACAATTTGCGCATTTTCCCACCAGAGATGTGTTTCCATCAAATTGACTTGTTGCGGATAAAAGGCTGTGCGTGATGACGTAGTGCACATAAAAATAACTTATGCGGTTAAATTCCCATTTACTGGAGGGAAAAAAATACAGGTTAAATGTGTTCGCATCACATTTTCAACTCTACTAATGGCTTTGTCACAGAAAAATGTGCGTTAAATAGCGAATGCGCTCACTCTGGTCTTTGCATGTAGGCTCTAGCCAACAGGTCTCAGATACAGTGCAGGTATAGCCTACATGAGATTATTATGGACAAAAGAGCAAGATTCATTTTATTTGTCAAATGGCAGCCATGCATCATCGATCATCATGTCACCAAAATAAGACCCTCGATTAGAAAGGAGCATCAAACTCCTCACCGTTTTGGCCGGGGGGCTTTACTTGGCTCATCGCACTCTAGCGACTCCTTGTGGCAGGCCGGGCACCTGCAAGCTGACTCGGTCGCCAGGCGAACTGTGTTTCCTCCAACACATTGGTGCAGCTGGCTTCCGGGTTAAGCGAGCGGGTGTTAAGAAGCAGCGCGGCTTGGCGGGTCATGTTTCGGAGGACGCATTACTCGACCTTCGCCTCTCCCGAGCCCGTTGGGGAGTTGCAGCGATGAGACAAGATCGTAATTGGGTATCACGAAATTGGGGAACAAAAGGGGGTCAAAAAAATATATATAAATAATTATTCACCGTGCATTTTCAACGCCCTGTGAAGTTAATCATAACTGATTTCACCTGTAGCCTAATAAACTGGCTGATTTCCCAAGTCGTAGAGGGAGGGCCACACAACATATAATCGCATGACTCCACGTTTACTTCGATATGATGGTTATTATATAAAAATGTGCACATAAAATTGTTTCCACCGCCATTTCTCGCATAATAAATTTTACAGACACAAAAGATCCCACCTTGGCCATCATTGTAAATAAGAATTTGTTCTTAATTGACTCGCCTGGATAAATAAAGGTTAAATCATACAATTTAAATTGTGTGTTTTGTCAACATTTGGAAAGTTTACATTGGCTGTTTCCATCAGGCCTGTCGTGACGTTTTTTTATGGGACATGTACTTTACTCGCATAAAAGGTTGGATGGAAACCTGGTTAATGACAGCATTGAATTCTTAAAGGTAGGCCTATATATGAGTTGTACTTTTTATGTAGAAGGCTTCCTTGGGAGTGGTCTAATCCACTGCAAATTATGTATTTTGGGAATGTTACTAAGGTACATTCCTAAGGTACATTCCTTTGTTGTGAAAAATGTGTTACCACTATAACGTGGGCTCATATACTTTTGTATATGAAGAAACAAGGGTAGAGCCACCCATTCAAATTATTTGTTGTGTTTACAGTAAACAAAGAGATCAGAAGGAAGCACCGCAAGCTTATAATGTAACTCATCAGCACAACAATGTTCTTGGAAGAACATCAGACAATCATCTATGATTAAGCGTATTCGCCTCACCTATTTAGTAGAGTTACAACATACTAGTACTAGATATGATTTCATTAGGAATCTCTATCAGATCTTTGGGAACATTGCTAGTGTGCAGTCACGTCTTCCAAACAGATTTATCATCAGCTGAAATACATGCCAGTAGTGCATTTTCCTAGTGACCAGTAACAAGATGTGTAATAATATAATATTTTATTTGGTTTGTTGGCAGCATAGCCCTCTAGAGTACACTGTGTCAAGCAAAATGGGTCAGACATTCTGCCTGTGTTTGTCTAAATATTTTTGTGTTTGTGTGCGCCTTAGGGAGGGGTGGGTGGGTGCTTATTTGGATGTAGCATATTTGTATAGTACAGTGCACATATGTTTTTGGAGTTTTTCTTCTTGATTTTGGTTGTGTGTGAGTCTGTACTTTCGCTGTTATGTGTACTTGAATGGATACTATGCGTGTGATGTGTGAATGTTTTACTCAAACGATCTCTAAATCTATATATTAACACCCCCTCTCCTCTCTCTCTCCCCCTCAGGTCTGATCGATGGCTACACAGATGAACGTGCCGCGCTGGAGGAGCAGGTGCGTCAGAAGGGGGAGCTACAGCTAAGCCTGGAGCAGGAGCTGCAGGTGAGACAGACCCACTCTACAGTCTACAACCACCATTATCACTGTGTTTTATTACAATTGAGGGTGACATGCTCTGATGTCATTATGTCATTTCAAGCAGTTATGCCCACTAGGTAAATATTGTTGTCCAACATATCTCAAAACTTTCCATGCAGATTTAAAGAAAATGGTGGACAATTATGTTGCAAGTTGTTTCCCATCTGTTTAAAATGTTACCGCTATGTCAGGAAACGTTTTTTTTGTCTGTTTTTAATTGGCTAACCACATCGTCAACCTGCCTCTAACTGAATGTCATTGGCTCCTGCAGGTGACGAGCAGCCGCCTACACGAACTGGAGCAGGAGAGGCTGCAGATGCAGGAGGAGCGAGAGATACTGTCACGGCAACAGGATGCCATGAGGGAGCATGCCGGCCCCCGCGAGTTACGTATGTGCCCCACCACTTACTCCTTGTGAATCTGAATGGAACAAAATATACAGTTTGACAAACATTCTAATATTCTAGACAGTGAAATAATGGTGAGAATGGTACTTTAATATCATCTAAAGTGTATTGGATATGCACAGACCTATACCAATACAGATGCTCAAAAACAAGCAGTTGGTGATACTAGAGAACTATGAATACGTCTTATATGACATCACTACTCCAAAGAGTGGGCAGAGTGAAGTGGGGGGTAGTGTCATTGAAATAGAAATACTGGTATTACTGAGAAAAGCCCCTCAGACCATGGCAATTTGACAGTCATTTTAATTCTGTGGGTCCTGTGACGAAGATAAAACAGGCCCATGTTCTTTTGCATAGAGAAGGTTGGTTTATTTCCTTGATTAGATCTATATTTGACTATTTGTATGACTCATCATCATCATCACACAGTTTGTCAGCTTAGCAGGAGCCACACATTGTTATCGTGTTATCACTCAATGACGTTGTAACCATTTTTATTCTGTGTTAGAAATTCTTGTAATTTAAATGTAAATACTTTATTACTGTACTTTGCTGAATTCCTGTAGAAAGGGTGACTGTGATGATACATATATATTGTAATGAAGTTTACAATTAATAACTGTTTTTGATGGAAATCCTCTGGGATAAAACAGAATCATGGAACATGTGTAACACAAGTACTGCATCCGGCAAGTCTCACCTGCGTCGTGTTCATTAGGCACCAAATGGAATTAAGTCGACCGAAACAGGGAGGAACTACCTTGACATGTCCAATAAGACACACTTGTTTTAAAGCATTTTCCGATGCATTACCTCCATCCAGTACTATTTCAAGGTATTCCATAGGTTAATGAACAATCCCTAATGAAATGGCAAGTATACAACAAGGACATGAATTCAATGTACACTTCAGGAACATCTCACTCCTGTTCTCACCTCACGGCATTGGCTCATCCATCATCTGCCGACACAGCTTTAATCAATACCACCACAGCACATGCAGGGAGGCCCCACCCTCTCGTTTTCACCTCTCGCATCCCTTCTCCTCCAGTCTACCTCCTTTTTATGACAAAACAAGTGCATGTTGAAATACTGTGCTTTCTTATTCCTCCTATAGGCCTAGTTGAAGCTGCAGTCGATGCAGCACCTGAAGCAGGTGTGTCCCACATCAGAGCATGGCCAGTCTATCTATGTTACTTTTTAGTCTCTAGTCGAGTGGCACTTCACAAATATATATATTTTTTAACCCCCAAATCCAGAAACTCACAAAAAAAGCTTGGAGCTTGCTTGCTATGGGCTCACTCACTCAATCACTAACCCTTGCTTACGCTTTTTCTTTTTGATTCACTTTTCTATGTCATGGTTTGTCATGTTAATGTCCTATGGGTCAGCGTGAACATTCTCATTTTATTTATGATTGAGCACAATTGAAGGAATCGGATGAGCTATATTTTGAGACATTGATACTGTAAGCATAAGTATTTCCTCATTGGCAATCATCTTTGTGCCTAAATTAAAATGTCTTGATGTTAATGTTCAGAAGAGTTTAGCTAACCCTAGCCTTACTTCACATTGTCCATGCTAACATTGTGACAATGTCCGCTACCTTTGGAGTAAGATGATTGCTCAATTAGGAATTTGTCCCACCCCTTGCCTGCAAATGCATATGGGGCATGGATATTGCACCGTCACTGCACTGTCTACGTCCTTGGTCTGTGGTTTGCACTCTCTTACCCTTTTATCTGTTGTACTAATACAATGGGGTTTGATCTCCTGGGTGAAGCAATGTTGGTTGGTTCAATGTTAGTTGGTTGGTTAAATGATGGCAGTGGATTACTAAAGGGATATGTTGGGAAGATACTGGGTGTGAGATTGTCTGTTATATAGAGTAGCTACATGATTCTGAAATGGAGGACTGTATTGGTGATATGTTGCTGAAGCAGCCATCTCAATACTGTGATGCTGTTAAAAAATGAGTAGAACACAAGTTTAGAAGTTCTGAGACAAAAACAGCTAAATATACTTAGATTTAAAATTAATAGTAAGGCTGACAGGCCTGTAACTGATTTTTGGTTTATCGACCGACAATCCACAAGAACTCCATCTCAGCATCCTGTCCTGTCCATTGCTGGAATCAAACCTGTATGTCCAAAATCATTAAGACTCCTCCCCTCCAAAGCGACCTTATGTGACGCCTTCCGTCCCTCCCTTCCTTCACCCCAGACCTCCTGGAGGAGACAGAGAAGCTGATGGCTGAGAAGGTAGAGGTGCAGCGGCAGGCGGAGAAGGAGAGCCTGGACCTTCTGAACCAGGTGAAAACACTGGAGGCTGAGCTGGAGGAGCAGATCAATCGGGTCATTGAGCTGGAGCACGCCCGCAAGACTGAGAGTGGCGACCTGCTGCAGCAGATCCAGGCCCTGGAGAAACAGCTGGAGAAGAACCGGAGGTTCCTGGATGTAAGAGAAAGAGGGGAAGGAAGAGATGGGGAGGATGGATGCATGGCTGGATGGATGGTTATGGATAGAGATGGGAGAGATGGATGAATGGGGAGAGAAGGGTGGCTGGATGAGGGAGGACCATAGGAAGTCTATCGTTTAAAAGTATACAGATTTACATGAATGTTATATGAATGTGCATGTTGGTTATTGGGGGTTAGGCAGTGCATAAAGCAATACACTTGATCCATCATTTATTCATCAGCCATGCATTTCTTATTCAATGGGGTCCGTCAGATTGGCACTGAAACAGAAAGATGTTTCCCATGTGTATATATATATATATATAATTGAATTTGATATGTTATGGGTATTTCCCATAGCTACTGCTCCTTACTCTCCTTCCTTCATCTCTGAACCCCAGGAGCAGGCCATCGACCGGGAACACGAGAGGGACGTCTTCCAGCAGGAGATCTTGAAACTGGAGCAGCAGCTGAAGAACAGCCAGAAGCAGCAGCCCGGCTCTGAACAAAGAAGCAGAGAGGTAACAGTTCAGTTCCGCAATGGCCCCAGCATTGAGCCCTGTGGGACCCCACTGGCAGTTTCTCCCTCTTTTTACATTTACATTTACATTTTAGTCATTTAGCAGACGCTCTTATCCAGAGCGACTTACAGTTAGTGAGTGCATACATTTTTATTTTTTATACTGGAATCGAACCCACAACCCTGGCGTTGCAAATGCCATGCTCTACCAACTGAGCTACATCCCTGCCGGCCATTCCCTCCCCTACCCTGGACGACACTGGGCCAATTGTGTTTTTGTTCCCTCACAATGGGAAAGGCAGTAATGTAGATGCTCAGCTTGTAGAAATTGACTGTTGTGGCTCTGTACATGAGGGCTCAGTGTCAGCCAGGACAATGGGGAGGTAGAATTGCCTGTGGTTACCAGAATATGATCCCAGACTAGTCAAACTGGAACTGAAGGATAATGGACATACAGCTGTGGAAAAAAATAAGAGACCACTGCAAACTTTTCTTAAATTAGCATCTCTACATGTATGACAGCCATTCCATTCCAGTGTCTGTTGAATTCCAACACAGGCACACCTCATTCTAATGAATTAGGTACTGATTAGGTGACCACATAAACCAAATCTTATTTAACGAGGAAAAGTATAAAAACCACTGCTGTGGTCATCACTATCCTCTTGCAATAGGACCAGCTGGATGGCAACAACAGTGCTAATAGTACCTCAAAAGTAATATTAATCATTAAATAACTATTGACCATGCCAAAAGAGTTGAAAATGAAAGTTTTGAGTGAGGAAAAGAAGGGTTCAATTCTGGCTTTACTGGCAGAGGGATACAGTGAGCGTCAGGTTGCTTCCATCCTTAAAATTTCAAAGACGGCGGTTCATAAGAACAAGGTCAAGCAGCAGACATTGGGGACAACAAAGCTACAGACCAGCAGAGGGCGAAAATGACTCTCTACCGACCGGGATGACCGCCAACTCATTCGAATGTCACTCAACAACCGTAGGATGACATCAAGTGACCTACAAAAAGAATGGCAAACGGCAGCTGGAGTGAAGTGCATGGCGAGGACGGTTCGAAACAGGCTCCTAGGGGAAGTCGTGCAAAGCAACAAAAAAAAAAACCTTCATCAATGAGAAGCAAAGAAGAGCCAGGCTGAGGTTTGCAAAAGACCATAAGGATTGGACCTTAGAGGACTGGAGTAAGGTCATCTTCTCAGATAGTCCAATTTTCAGCTTTGCCCAACACCTGGTTGTCTAATGGTTAAACAGAGACCTGGAGAGGCCTACAAGCCATAGTGTCTCGCACCCACTGTGAAATTTGGTGGAGGATCGGTGATGATCTGGGGGTGCTTCAGCAAGGCTGGAATCGGGCAGATTTGTCTTTGTTGTCCTGGAAGAAAACTTGCTTCCTTTTGCTCTGACATTGTTCCCCAACTCTGAGGATTGGTTTTTCCAGCAGGACAATGCGCCCTGCCACACAGCAAGGTCAATCAAGGTGTGGATGGAGGACCACCAGATCAAGACCCTGTCATGGCCAGCCCAATCTCCAGACCTGAACCCCATTGAAAACTTCTGGAATGTGATCAAGAGGAAGATGGATGGTCACAAGCCATCAAACAAAGCCGAGCTGGTTTAATTTTCAAGTCACCCAACATCAATGTGAAAGACTGGTGGAGAGCAAGATGCATGAAAGCTGTGATTGAAAATCAGGGTTATTCCACCAAATATTGATTTCTGAACTCTTCCTAAGTTAAAACATTATTATTGTGTTGTTTAAAAATAAACATTAACTTATTTTCTTTGCATTATTCGAGGTCTGACAACACTGCATATGTTTTGTTATTTTGACCAGTTGTCATTTTCTGCAACTAAATGCTCTAAATGACAATATTTTTATTTGGAATTTGGGAGAAATGTTGTCAGTAGATTATAGAATAAAACAAAAATGTTATTTTTACCCAAACACATAGCTATAAATAGTAAAACCAGAGAAACAGATAATTTTGCAGTGGTCTCTTAATTTTTTCCACAGCTGTATATGCTGGATGTGATTTCTGTTTTTTTGGGGTGAGGGCTGATTTGTCAATCATCGCAATGGTGATTTTTGTTTATTAACTGTGAGGGGGTTGTGGGTATTATGTGATTGTAATGCATTTTGTAGAACTGTAGTATTATTTTTATTTTTTATGGAACATTTTATTGAACATAAAAGGTCTTAACAGTGGTCTTGTCCTTGTCACTAAACACTTAATATATTTTGCATCTTTCGACAAAGCAGTGTCCATGGAGAGGTTCTATTTACTCTCGCACCGTCTGGTAGCTACCTACCTCCAGTAAATATCATTAGATACAGTGGGGGAAAAAAGTATTTAGTCAGCCACCAATTGTGCAAGTTCTCCCACTTTAAAAGATGAGAGAGGCCTGTAATTTTTATCATAGGTACACATCAACTATGACAGACAAATTGAGGAAAAAAAATCCAGAAAATCACATTGTAGGATTTTTAATGAATTTATTTGCAAATTATGGTGGAAAATACAGTGGGGGAAAAAAGTATTTAGTCAGCCACCAATTGTGCAAGTTCTCCCACTTAAAAAGATGAGCGAGGCCTGTAATTTTCATCATAGGTACACGTCAACTATGACAGACAAATTGAGAAAAAAAATCCAGAAAATCACATTGTAGGATTTTTTATGAATTTATTTGCAAATTATGGTGGAAAATAAGTATTCGGTCACCTACAAACAAGCAAGATTTCTGGCTCTCACAGACCTGTAACTTCTTCTTTAAGAGGCTCCTCTGTCCTCCACTCGTTACCTGTATTAATGGCACATGTTTGAACTTGTTATCAGTATAAAAGACACCTGTCCACAACCTCAAACAGTCACACTCCAAACTCCACTATGGCCAAGACCAAAGAGCTGTCAAAGGACACCAGAAACAAAATTGTAGACCTGCACCAGGCTGGGAAGACTGAATCTGCAATAGGTAAGCAGCTTGGTTTGAAGAAATCAACTGTGGGAGCAATTATTAGGAAATGGAAGACATACAAGACCACTGATAATCTCCCGCGATCTGGGGCTCCACGCAAGATCTCACCCTGTGGGGTCAAAATGATCACAAGAACGGTGAGCAAAAATCCCAGAACCACACGGGGGGACCTAGTGAATGACCTGCAGAGAGCTGGGACCAAAGTAACAAAGCCTACCATCAGTAACACACTGGCAGTGCCAGACGTGTCCCCCTGCTTAAGCCAGTACATGTCCAGGCCCGTCTGAAGTTTGCTAGAGTGCATTTGGATGATCCAGAAGAGGATTGGGAGAATGTCATATGATCAGATGAAACCAAAATATAACTTTTTGGTAAAAACTCAACTCGTCGTGTTTGGAGGACAAAGAATGCTGAGTTGCATCCAAAGAACACCATACCTACTGTGAAGCATGGGGGTGGAAACATCATGCTTTGGGGCTGTTTTTCTGCAAAGGGACCAGGACGACTGATCTGTGTAAAGGAAAGAATGAATGGGGCCATGTATCGTGAGATTTTGAGTGAAAACCTCCTTCCATCAGCAAGGGCATTGAAGATGAAATGTGGCTGGGTCTTTCAGCATGACAATGATCCCAAACACACCGCCCGGGCAACGAATGAGTGGCTTCGTATGAAGCATTTCAAGGTCCTGGAGTGGCCTAGCCTGTCTCCAGATCTCAACCCCATAGAACATCTTTGGAGGGAGTTGAAAGTCCGTGTTGCCCAGCGACAGCCCCAAAACATCACTGCTCTAGAGGAGATCTGCATGGAGGAATGGGCCAAAATACCAGCAACAGTGTGTGAAATCCTTACAGAAACTTACAGAAAACGTTTGACCTGTGTCATTGCCAATAAAGGGTATATAACAAAGTATTGAGAAACTTTTGTTATTGACCAAATACTTATTTTCCACCATAATTTGCAAATAAATTCATTAAAAATCCTACAATGTGATTTTCTGTAAAAGAAAATCTCAATTTGTCTGTCATAGTTGACGTGTACCTATGATGAAAATTACAGGCCTCTCTCATCTTTTTAAGTGGGAGAACTTGCACAATTGGTGGCTGACTAAATACCTTTTTCCCCCACTGTATTACATTAGGATATTTCTGCTGAGCATCATCATCTGGACCATGGAGGTCTGTCTTTGCATTATAATTGCATCTACTATCATAACAGCTGTGATATACAGCTTCTCTCTGGTTTACTGTAAGTCAGCTGAGTTGTGGCTGGTTTCTGCTAAAAGTCAATAGCGTCATCATAGCTCCACATCTCTTTGACATGCTGTGGCAGTGGCTCTGCTTGCTGTTGCCATCAGCTGTGTTTTACATTTGTTACCATACTGTTGTTTGTGTTCAGTCTTCAACTGTATTATAGTGGCATGTGTAGTGGAAACATGTCACTACAAGTAACTCAGAATTATTGAATTGAATTAGAGTTGTCTCTTTTTAAACACCATTATAGATACTGTAGGGGCCTGTTTTTGCTAAGCTAAATGCAATTCGCTATATCACAGCAGCCTTTCTCTGCTATCATAATCTTAGCGCCATTCCTTCTCCCACCACCACCTCCTATTAGTCACTGCTATGCTCATTAAAGGCCATTCTCTCTCTTTCCTCCTCTTCCTCTTTCCTCCTCTCTCCCTCTTTGCCTCTCTCCCATGGCAGGTGGATCAGCTGACCTCCCAGGTATTGCTATTAGTTCCATTGAAACAGCCTCTCTATTAACTCAACTCCATCAGTTGCATGGTAGCAGCCTGTCATTGCAAACCATGTTAGAGCCCCCCCTCTTTCCGTTCCTCTGCTCTCTTTCTCCTTTCCGTCCCTTTAAATATCCCGTAGCAGGTGGATCCCAGCGATTAGTGGCGCTAGCGTCATTGAAAAGGCCCTTCTATTAAATATAATTAGCTGCACTCAAAACCAACCTCTCCCTCTTCCCCCGTTTCTCCCTCTTTCCCTATTCATCTCCCTTTCCCTACCATGTAGCAGGAGTGGATCATCTAACCTCATAGTATTGCTCCCGTTTACATTCGAACTGCCTCTGTTGTTCAGCTGCACCATAGCATAACCTAATTAGCTAACCTTTCTCCTTCCCTTCTGCTCTTCCCCTCTTCCACATGGCAGGTGGCTCAGCTAATCTAACAGCTATTGCTAGTAGCTAACGTATACTGAAATGCAGCTTCTCTCATATTGAATCATATCATCCATTCTGCATAATGACAGGTAGACTCTCTTTGCCATCCTCGCCGAAGCCCTCCTCACTCCCTCTTTCCCTCTAGCCCCTAGTGATGGGGGAAGAAATTGATAGTTACATATCGCCATATTATTTTTGGCCGATATTATATTGATACTTTTACTCCAAGTATCGATTTGTAAAATACATTACAAATGTTTTGCTATGTAGCGTTAGCTAGTGCTAGTCGGCTGTATCTGCGCCAAAACGCCGGTATTTTTCATCTTATAGCGTGTTCTCCTCTTCTTTTTAAATAGTGAGCCAACATGTTTCCAGCACTTTTATTTCCATGACTGATCAAAACTAATTTTCTCATGCTCTCTCTTGTCTCTCTGCAGCAGACATACTATATAGTGAGAAATATGTTTGGACCATCAAATTGCAATAAAATCGCAGTATCGAATCGCAATACATATAAAATCATGAGAATCGCAATACATATCGTATCGGCACCTAAGTATTGTGATAATATCGTATTGTGAGATCCCTGGCAATTCCCAGCCCTACTACCTCCTCTCTTTTACCCCTCTCTTCAAAACGGCAGGTGGATCAGCTGACCTCCAAGCTACTGTGTTGTATTACTACTAACTAGCCACATTGATACATTGAAACTACAGACTGTACGATCCTCACTGAAACCCCTCTTTTCCTCCCTCTCCTTTCTCCTCCTCCTCATCCCTCTCCTCTCCCAGGTGGATCAGCTGACCCAGCAGCTGACGGAGAAGGCGGACTGGTGCAGCGAGCTGCTGCTGGCGTCCGAGCAGCTGCAGCGCGAGGTGGGTGAGCGCAACGAGGAGATCGACAAGCTGGAGGACCGCATCCGCGAGCTGGAGGAGGCACTGCTGGCCAGCACCGAGACAGTGAGAGAGAGAAGGGAGAGATGGATGGAGAGGAAGGGGGGATGGATGAAGTGGGATAGAGACTGAGAGAGAACAACAAAGAGAGGAAGGTGGAAAAAGAGAGGAGAGGGACAAGGAGAGAAAGAGAGAGTGGAAAAGAGAGTGGAGTGGGGAGAGGTAAAGGGAGCTAGAAAGGGAGAGAGAGAAGGAGACACTCCTACTCCTTTCTACCGCTGCTGTTGATGATGCTGTGTTAAGGCTAGCGACTGTCAAGATTTCTCCCCAGAGGGAGTGTGTGTGTGTTGGGGGGGGGGGGGGGGGGGTCTTCTATCCTTGTGGGGACCTAAAGTCTCTGCAAGGATAGTAAAACAAGGAAAATTCTCCTTTGTGGGGACAATACCCACGTCCCCATTAGGACAAAGGCTATTTTAAGCTTAGGGGTTAGGGATACAATTAGGGTTAGAGTTACGGGTTAAGGTTAGGGGTTAGGGAAAATAGGATTTTCAATGGAAATTAATTTTAGGTCCCCATGAGGATAGAAGAACATAACGTGTGTGTGAGAGAGAAGATGGAGTGTGTGTGCATGTTAGTGTCAGAATGAGAGTGTGTGTTCTGGTAGAGTGTGAGAGAATGACAGCATGAAGCTACATGTGGATATAGTTAGAAGTTTACATACACTTAGGTTGGAGTCATTAAAACTCGTCTTTCAACCACTCCACACATTTCTTGTTATCAAACTATAGTTTTTGCAAGTGGGTTAGGACATCTACTTTGTGCATGACACAAGTAATTTTTCCAACAATTGTTTACAGACAGATTAATTAACTTATAATTCACTGTATCACAATTCCAGTGGGTCAGAAGTTTACATACACTAAGTTGACTATGCCTTTAAACAGCTTGGAAAATTCCAGAAAATGATGTCATGGCTTTAGAAGCTTCTGATAGGCGGATTGACATCATTTGAGTCAATTGAAGGTGTACCTGTGGATGTATTTCAAGGCCTACCTTCAAACTCAGTGCCTCTTTGCTTGACATCATGGGAAAATGAAAAGAAATCAGCCAAGACCTCAGAAAAAAAATTGTAGACCTCCACAAGTCTGGTTCATTCTTGGGATCAATTTCCAAACGCCTGAAGGTACCACGTTCATCTGTACAAACAATATCTCTAGCTGCATCTCCTAGAGATGAACGTACTTTGGTGCGAAAAGTGCAAATCAATCCCAGAACAACAGCAAAGGACCTTGTGAAGATGCTGGAGGAAACAGGTACAAAAGTATCTATATCCACAGTAAAACTAGTCCTATATCGACATAACCTGAAAGGCCCCTCAGCAAGGAAGAAGCCACTGCTCCAAAACCGCCATAAAAAAGCCAGACAACGGTTTGCAACTGCACATGAGGACCAAGGAGAAATGTCCTCTGGTCTGATGAAACAAAAATAGAACTGTTTGGCCATAATGACCATCGTTATGTTTGGAGGAAAAAGGGGGTTGCTTGCAAGCCAAAGAACACCATCCCAACCGTGAAGCACGGGGGTGGCAGCATCATGCTGTGGGGGTGCTTTGCTGCAGGAGGGACTGGTGCACTTCACAAAATAGATGGCATCATGAGGAAGGAAAATTATGTGGATATATTGAAGCAACATCTCAAGACATCAGTCAGGAAGTTAAAGCTTGGTCACAAATGGGTCTTCCAAATGGACAATGACCCCAAGCATACTTCCAAAGTTGTGGCAAAATGGCTTAAGGACAACAAAGTCAAGGTATTGGAGTGGCCATCACAAAGCCCTGACCTCAATCCTATAGAAAATATGTGGGCAGAACTGAAAAAGCTTGTGCGAGCAATGAGGCCTACAAACCTGTCAGGAGGAATGGGCCAAAATTCACCCCTTATTGTGGGAAGCTTGTGCAAGGCTACCCGAAACGTTTGACCCAAGTTAAACAATTTAAAGGCAATGCTACCAAATACTAATTGAGTGTATGTAAACTTCTGACCCACTGGGAATGTGATGAAAGAAATAAAAGCTTAAATAAATCATTCTCTCTACTATTATTCTAACATGTCACATTCTTAAAATAAAGTGGTGATGCTAACTGACCTAAGACAGTCACTTTTTACTAGGATTAAATGTCAGGAATTGTGAAAAACTGAGTTTAAAGTAGTATGTAAACTTCCGACTTCAACTCTATATGGATGTGTGTGTGTGTGTGTGTGTGTGTGTGCACGCATTGGTAAGAAAGGAGACTGAGTGTACAAGCATTACCCAATGTCATGGCTGAGAATGTGTGTCCATAATAATGAGTACTGCAACCAAGTACTGCAACTAATATCACTGTTGGCTGGCTGAAACATAGAGCAGTGAAAAAAATGGCCCCATACCATGCTACTGCCCAGATGATCAAGTGCATGACATCGCAGATACTGTATATGATGTATGACTGTGTGTGTGGCTATCCTGAGATTTGTGTGTTTGCTTGTGTGTACAGTACCAGTCAAAAGTTTACACACCTACTCATTCAAGGGTTTTTCTTTATTTTTTGTTCTACATTGTAGAATAATAGTGAAGACATCAAAACTATGAAATAACACATATGGAATCATGTAGTAACCAAAACATATATTTTAGATTTTAGATTCTTCAAAGTAGCCACCCTTTGCCTTGATGACAGCTTTGCACATTATTGGCATTCGCTCAACCAGCTTTTCAAACAGTCTTGAAGGAAAAGCACTTGTTGGCTGCTTTTCCTTCACTCTGCGTTCCAACTCATCCCAAACCATCTCAATTGGGTTGAGGTCGGGTGATTGTGGAGGCCAGGTCATCTAATGTAGCACTCCATCACTCTCCTTCTTGGTCAAATAGCCCTTACACAGCCTGGAGGTGTTTTTTTGGTCATTGTCCTGTTGAAAGACAAATGATAGTCCCACTAAGCGCAAACCAGATGGGATGTTGTATTGCTGCAGAATGCTGTGGTAGCCATGCTGGTTAAATGTGCCTTGAATTCTAAATAAATCACAGACAGTGTCACCAGCAAAGCACCATCACACCTCCTCCTCCATGCTTCACGGTGGGAACCACACATGCGGAGATCATCCGTTCACCTACTCACAAAGACACGGGGGTTGGAACCAAAAATCTCAAATTTGGACTCATCAGACCAAAGGACATATTTCCACCGGTCTAATGTCCATTGCGCGTGTTTCTTGGCCCAAGCAAGTCTCTTCTTCTTATTGGTGTCTTGGTTTCTTTTCTCTGGGTCTTCCTTTCATGTGGTGGTCCTCATGAGAGCCAGTTTCATCATAGCGCTTGATGGTTTTTGCGACTGCACTTGAGGAAACTTTCAAAGTTCTTGACTGACTTGCATGTCTTAAAGTAATGATGGACTGTTGTTTCTCTTTGCTTATTTGAGCTGTTCTTGCCATAATATGGACTTGGTCTTTTACCAAATAGGGCTATCTTCTGTATACCGCCCCTACCTTGTCACAACACAACTGATTGGCTCAAACTCATTAAGAAGGAAAGAAATTCCACAAATTAACTTTTAACAAGGCACACCTGTTAATTGAAATGCATTCCATGAAGCTGGTTGAGAGAATGCCAAGAGTGTACAAAGCTGTCATCAAGGCAAAGGGTGTCTACTTTGAAGAATCTCAAATATAACATCTATTTTGATTTGTTTAATACTTTTTTAGTTACTGCATGATTCCATATGTGTTATTTCATAGTTTTGATATCTTCACTATTATGTAAAAAATAGTAAAAATAAAGAAAAACCCTTCAATGAGTGTGTCCAAACCTTTGACTGGTACTGTACGTGTGCGTGCTTGGCTCATGACTGGTCGCTAAATAATAATGTATTGTGTGTGTGTTTCAGGTGGAGGATAAGAGGCAGCTTGTGTCTGTTAGTGAGCTTGGGGACGCCTCACTGGAGGTTCAGCTACAGACTGAAAGAGAGGCTCTGGACAGGAAAGAGAAAGAGGTAATATACTGGTCTTGTGGGGGTTTCTTTCTTTCACATGTTTGGAAGGGAATTTCTAAGTAGCCAATCCAGCACAGTGTCAAAGCTAGCCAGCGAAAACCTTGAACGGTTATCACGTCCACGATGATTTATACAAAGTGGACCATTCCTCTACTTGTTGCATCCCTTTGCCCGCCATCTTTCACTTCACCTCAAATCGCGCTCCTTCAATAGCCAGTGATGGACACAAGACAGGTCCCAACTTAGATTTCAAGTCCCCTGTTCAGTAGTCGATGCCCTGGTCCTCAGTTAGAACACACAAGACACCAGCTTGACTCCCCCCTTCCCCCTTCTCCCCTCCAGATCAGTAACCTGGAGGAGCAGCTGGAGCAGTTCCGGGAGGAGCTGGAGAACAAGAATGATGAGGTGCAGCAGCTACACATGCAGCTGGAGATCCAGAGGAAGGAGCTGAGCACCCAGCAGCAAGACCTGGAGACCAAGGACCGCCTGCTCCAGGTAATCGGCCAACACACAGCTAGGCTAGCATGTAGGTAGCCTTAGCCCCCACACAGCTAGGCTAGCATGTAGGTAGCCTTAGCCCCCACACAGCTAGGCTAGCATGTAGGTAGCCTTAGCCACCACACAGCTAGGCTAGCATGTAGGTAGCCTTAGCCCCCACACAGCTAGGCTAGCATGTAGGTAGCCTTAGCCCCCACACAGCTAGGCTAGCATGTAGGTAGCCTTAGCCACCACACAGCCAGGCTAGTGTAGGTAGCCTTAGCCCCCACACAGCTAGGCTAGCATGTAAGTAGCCATAGCCCCCACACAGCCAGGCTAGTATGTAAGTAGCGTTAGCCTCCACACAGCCAGGCTAGTATGTAGATAGCCTCAGCCACAACGCCAGACTAGCATGTAAGTAGCCATAGCCCCCACACAGCCAGGCTAGTATGTAGGTAGCCTCAGCCACAACACTAGACTAGCAGGTCGATAGTTTAGCCAACACACAGCTAGGCTAACATTTAGATATACGCAAGCCAGACAGTTAGACTAGCAGCAACCAGGTAAAACACAACAATCCAACATATTGGTAGTCTTAGCCACAAAAAAAGGCAAACATTATAAACCCTTTATAATGCCTATATAGATGCTACAGAAATAATTTACAAGCTAATTCTATATACAGTGCAAGTATTCAGACCCCTTGACTTTTTCCACATTTTGTTACGTTACAGCCTTATTCTAAAATTGATTAAAAAAATATATATATATCATCAATTTACACATAGTACCCCATAATGACGAAGCAAAAACTGGTTTTTAGAAATGTTGGCAAATTGAAATATTACATGTACATAAGTATTCAAACCCTTTACTCAGTACTTTGTTGAAGCACCTTTGGAAGTGATTACAGCCTTGAGTCTTCTTGGGTATGACGCTACAAGCTTGGCACACCTGTATTTTGGGAGTTTCTCCCATTCTTCTCTGCACATCCTCTTTAGCTCTGTCAGGTTGGATGGGGAGCGTCGCAGCACGGTTATTTTCAGGTCTCTCCAGAGATGTTAGATCGGGTTCAAGTCCGGGTTCTGGCTGGGCCACTCAAGGACATTCAGAGACTTGTCCCGAAGCCACTCCTATGTTGTCTTGGCTGTGTGCTTAGGGTTGTTGTCCTGTTGGAAGGTGAACCATCACCCCAGTCTGAGGTCCTGAGCGCTCTGGAGCAGGTTTTCATCATGAATCTCTCTGTACTTTGCTCCATTCATCTTTCCCTCGATCCTGACAAGTCTCCCAGTCCCTGCCGCTGAAAAACATCCCCACAGCATGATGCTGCCACCACCATGCTTCACCGTAGGGATGGTGCCAGGTTTCCTCCAGATGTGACGCTTGGCATTCAGGCCAAAGAGTTCAATCTTCATCAGACCAGAGAATCTTGTTTCTCATGGTCAGAGTCTTTAGGTGCCTTTTGGCAAACTCCAAGTGGGCTGTCATGTGCCTTTTACTGAGGAGTGGCTCCCGTCTGGCCACTCTACCATAAAGGCCTGATTGGTGGAGTGCTGCAGAGATGGTTGTCCTTCTGGAAGGTTCTCCCATCTCCACAGAGTAACTTTGGAGCTCTGTCAGAGTGCACCATCGGGTTCTTGGTCACCTCCCTGACCAAGGCCCTTCTCCCCCGATTGCTCAGTTTGGCCAGGCGGCCAGCTCTAGGAAGAGTCTTGGTGGTTCCAAACTTATTCAATTTAAGAATGATGGAGGCCACTGTGTTCTTGGGGACCTTCAATGCTGCAGACATTTTTTGGTACCCTTCCCCAGATCTGTGCCTTCACACAATCCTGTCTCGGAGCTCTACGGACAATTCCTTCAACCTCATGGCTTGATTTTTGCTCTGACATGCACTGTCAACTGTGGGGCCTTATATAGACAGGGGTGTGCCTTTCCAAATCATGTCCAATCAATTGGATTTACCACAGGTGGACTCCAATCAAGTTGTAGAAACATCTCAAGGATGTTCAATGGAAACAGGATGCACCTGAGCTCAATTTCGAGTCTCATAGCAAAGGGTCTGAATACTTACACTACCAGTCAAAAGTTTGGACAAACCTACTCATTCAAGGGTTTTTCTTTATTTTGTACTATTTTTTACATTGTAGAATAATAGTGAAGACATCAAATCTATGAAATAACACATATGGAATCATGTAGTAACCAAAGAAGTGTTAAACAAATCAAAATATATTTTATATTTGAGATTCTTCAAATAGCCACCCTTTGCCTTGATGACAGCTTTGCACACTCTTGGCATTCTCTCAACCAGCTTCATGAGGTAGTCACCTGGAATGCATTTAAATTAACAGGTGTGTTTTCTTAAAAGTTAATTTGTGGAATTTCTTTCCTTCTTAATGTGTTTGAGCCAATCAGTTGTGTTGTGACAAGGTAGGGGGGGTATACAGAAGATAGCCCTATTTGGTAAAATACCAAGTTCTTATTATGGCAAGAACAGCTCAAATAAGCAAAGAGAAATGACAGTCCATCGTTACTTTAAGACATGAAGGTCAGTCAATACGGAACATTTCAAGAACATTTAAAGTTTTTTCAAGTGCAGTTGCAAAAACCATCAAGCGCTATGATGAAACTTGCTCTCATGAGGACCACCACAGGAATGGAAGACCCAGAGTTACCTCTGCTGCAGAGGATACGTTCAGTAGAGTTACCAGCCTCAGAAATTGCAGCCCAAATAAATGCTTCACAGAGTTGAAGTCAGAGACACATCTCAACATCAACTGTTCAGAGGATTGCTGCAAAGAAACCACTACTAAAGGACACCAATAAGAAGAAGAGACCTACTTGGGCCAAGAAACACGAGCAATGGACATTAGACCGGTGGAAATGTGTCCTTTGGTCTGGAATCCAAATTTGATTTTTGGTTCCAACCGCCGTGTTTTTGTGAGACACGGTGTGGGTGAACGGATGATCTCCGCATGTGTAGTTCCCACCGTAAAGTTTGGAGGAGGAGGTGTTATGGTGTGGGGGTGCTTTGCTGGTGACACTGTGATTTATTTAGAATTCAAGGCACACTTAACCAGCAATGCTACCACAGCATTCTGCAGCGATACACCATCCCATCTGGTTTGGGCTTAGTGGGACTGTCATTTGTTTTTCAACAGGACAATGACCCAACACACCTCCAGGCTGTGTAAAGGCTATTTTACCAAGAAGGAGAGTAATGGAGTGCTGCATCAGATGACCTGGCCTCCACAATCCCCTGACCTCAACCCAATTGAGATGGTTTGGGATGAGTTGGACGGCAGAGTGAAGGAAAAGCAGCCAACAAGTGCTCAGCATATGTGGGAACTCCTTCAAGACGGTTGGAAAAGCATTCCAGGTGAAGCTGGTTGAGAATGCCAAGAGTGTGCAAAGTTGTCATCAAGGCAAAGAGTGGCTATTTGAAGAATCTCAAATATAAAATATATTTTGATTTGTTTAACACTTGTTTGGTTACTATATGATTCCATATGTGTTATTTCATAGTTTTGATGTCTTCACTATTATTCTACAATGTAAAAAATAGTAAAAATAAAGAAAAACCCTTGAATGAGTAGGTGTGTCCAAACTTTTGACTGTTACTGTATGTAAATAAGGAATTTCGGTCAAAACATTTTTAATACATTTGCTAGAATTTCTAAAAACCTATTTTCACTTTGTCATTATGGGGTATAGTGTGTAGATTGATGAGGAAATATTTTTATTTAATCAATTTTCGATTAAGGCTTTAACGTAACAAAATGTGGAAAAGGTCAAGGGGTCTGAATACTTTCCGAATGCACTGTATATGCCACATTAGCCAAAGCACCAAATGTGGGACCGGTTGGGCTAATATGGTACTGATAGGTAGTATCCCCACACCAAAGATAAACAATTCCCCCATAAATGTTCCTTCTCTATTGTCCCAGATTAAGGGTGAGTTTTTTTGTGTTGAGAGCCAGCAGATTATAATTTCCGACATATGATACACTTTTGAAGGTGATGGAGGAGAAGGACAGGGAAATAAAGCTTCTTAATGAGCAGATGGCTAAGCTTCAACACACGGAAACAGCCCCTGATAACAAGGTAACCCCATATACATATATGTTACAGACAGACCACTTGTTCTTCTGTTCACATATATGTATATCTCTGTGATAGTGGATCAGTGTGTGTGTTGTGTGACAGCCGTTCACTTTATTTGTTATTTTTGTTTTGACGGAACCTACCATTTTATTTTAGGTTTTGGTAAGTAGGCCTCCCATGCTCTGTTGTCTTGTGTTGTGACATTTTCTTTAAATTGGCTTACTAAACATCTGAGAACACTTGGAACACCCTAGAAATGTCCAACAAATCAGAATTGGTTCCTGAAGTACCGTTATTACAGTTTCCCAACCTAAAATGTTACCTGATTGGTTGATCAAACCAAACATTATCAATATTAACTATCTTGCCGTGGTACAACTGTTTCTCAGAGGTTCACCAGAAAGCATGAGCCGGTCTTTTTCCTCCTCATCTTTGTTCTTATTCCTACATTCACTGCTCCGTCCTTCCCTTTAGGAAATAGACGCAAAGGATGAACTACTGCGTGAGCTGGAGTCCCAGGTGGAGTGCATGCGGAGTGAGCAGCAGCGCCTGAAAAGAAACAGTGAGGAGGAACTGGAGCAGCTCAACGCAGTCATCGACAAGCTCCAGGAGGAGCTGACCAACATCGAGCGGAAGCAATCCTCGGAGACGGACGAGGAGCTCAAGGGCCAGTTGGAGAGCCAGGTCCGAGGTCCCAGCAAGGAGGAATATGATGAAATGAAGCAAAAGATGGACCTGGCTACCCAAGAGCTGGACACCATCAAAGCCGAGCACTGCTCGCTCTTGGAGAGGTACCAGTGCTTGCAGGTAAGCAGGCTAGCATTAGCCGAATCGGAAAAGGAACAGTCGGACAACACCGCGATGGAGCTGCATGACGCCCTCAGGGAGAAGACGGCGGAATTCTTGGTGGTGCAGGCTCAAATTCAGGCGCTGGAGCAGAGCACCACCTCCAGGGTGGAGGAGCTGAGCCGTCGCGTCCAGGAACTTGAGGCCTGTGTCAGAGAGAGGGATTCTGAACTGACTCGCTGCCGGTTCCTGGTGGAGCGGGCCCAGGAGGATGCCGATGAGCTCCAGCGCAAGGTCCAGGACCTGGAGGACAAGCTTAGGGAGAGGGTGGCGGCCGCGCTTGTCAGCCAGGCCCAACTGGGCGCCGTCCAGCAACAGTCGCATCTATCGCAGGAGTCCAAGGGCCAGAGAACCAAAGAATCCAGCCACCAGGATCCCCAGGGACAGATGGAGGTACTGGACTTTGGGTTTACAGGATCGTCCCGAGCAGCGGAGATCCAAGGAGCCAAACAGGGCCCCACAGGGAAGGTGGTCCTCCTGACGGAGAAGCTCCGTGAGCTGGAGGTGGGCCTGAGTGGCATGCAGAAGGACCAGGAGCTGCAGAAGCAGCTGCTCTCCAGCTCAGAGGAGGAGGTGCTGGAGTACGAGAAGAGGCTGGTCGTGCTCATGGATCTGCTCAATCAGATGAGGACGATCAAGCCTGGTGGACAACAGAGAATGTTTCCAGCCGCAGAGGTAGGAGTGAACTTTAGCCTTCACTTATTGCCTATGGGAGTTAAGTTAGCGCTAGCCTGTACCACCTCCTATAAATTCACTTTAGAGGGTTAGAGTTAGCCTGCACTACTTCCCATGGATTAATTAATTACCTTTAGCCTACACTGCCTTTAGATGTTTTTCACAGTTTGAAATGCTGACAAGCTGCTATCTCTTTGAACTGAACCAGACTCCATCTTCTGGAGGCAACAAGCCAGCTATATCTGAGATGCTACAGGAACTACAAGAGGTCAGGGATGAGGCTTCAGTCACCAAAGAACAGCTCAGCAGTTACAGGGAGAGCAGCAATAAACTCCAGCAGGAGCTCAAGGTATGTAATATCACACTCAACAACCGTGTTTGATTAGTGCTCTATTCAACTTATTGCTGGAGAGGGAGTTACAATTATCACATATTTTCCTTTTTTAGGCAAAAGAGGTTGCAATAGCAAAGCTTCAGGAAGACCTTCAAAGGGTAAGAAACAAAGGGTTCCTCCGATTTGCCATAGGCACAGACACAGTACAATTCTACTTTGCCTCAGAGTTGCTAAAGTATTGCAATACTTTCTTGTTCTTGACATTCCCTTAAATTCATTGTCTTGAAATCCAAGTTCTAGAAATTCTAACATCTAACACATCTACCTTTGACACCAGGTGTCATCGGGAGGCGGTGAGGCCAAGGTGTCGGAGCTCCATCGGGAGCTGAAGGAGGTCAAAGAGGAGGCCGCGGCCACCAAAGAGGAGCTCAGCAGCTACAGGGAACGCTGTGACAAACTACAGGAGCTGCTACAGGTATGAACACAGTCCCAATCAACCAGTGTTCAGCAGAGCAAAGAACTATGGGAGTTGCAGTCTTCCAGTGCCAAACTTTGTTGATTTTATTAATTGTCCATTTTTTGTGAATAACTGTACATTTAAAAAATGTTGATCAAATAGGAAGTTGTATGTGTAGTCTTTTCAGTGATTAACCAATCCGACCATTTCATTAAAAAAATGTGTACCAAAGGAGAGAGAGATGACCATAGCACATCTCAAGGGTGAACTCGACCGGGTAAGTGTATATTGCTGCAAGGAAGAATATTCCAACTTTACTCAACAATATGGAAAAATATCTATTGGTATGTCTTCACTTGTGTATGGATTTTGGTGTCTCCTAACTTCACAGGCTTCATCGGAAGATGACGGTGCCGCCGCGTCCGAGCTTCTCCAAGAGCTCCAGGAGGTCCGAGACGAGGCAGCCGTTACCAAAGAACACCTGAACAGCTTCAGAGAGTGCAGCGATAAACTCCAGAACGAACTCCAAGTCCGCGACCTGTCCATCGCACAGCTTCAAGAGGAGCTCCAACAGCTCAGAGTAGCCTTGGCGAAAACCGCAGAGTCACCGTCACCACTATCCCCACTATCACCATCTCAGTCTCCCTCACCCCAGCAGCACCAGCCAGCACCAGCCTCCAATCCGAAAAAGAAAGGCGGCAAACCGCAAGACCACCGCCAAGGGGCCAAGGGAAAAATGGCTGCTGCTGCCAAAGACAAACCATCGCTCTCCAGGAAGAACTCTGCCGCGGCGAACCAAATGACCTCCGACAAATCGTCCGGTCAATCATCTGGTCTTAATGGATCTCTGCCTCGTACAGACACTGGCACCCAGACGGAGACATTTTCCTCCCAGACATCTGGCCATCCCAGGTCTGTGTCAGAGGAAGAGGTGGAGGAGATGATCGGGGAGTACCAGGAGAAGATCGTACAGATGCAGGAGCTGCACGCGGCGGAGATCCTGGACATGGAGGCCCGGCACATCGCAGAGAGCGAGGCCCTGAAGAGGGACGCTCAGATGCTAGAGGAGGAGTGCAAGGCTCTCAAGACCGTCATCGAGAAGTTGCAACGCTCTCACGAGGTGAGTCCGTTCGGCGACATCTCAGCAGACCTGGGTTGTGTTCATTAGGCACAAAACAGAAGTGAGTAAGACTACCTGGACGCTTGTTTTCGTTTTCTGTTGCAGAACACGGTTTCAGACTGTTTTCTTTCGTTTGGTGCTTAATAAACACGACCGAGATGATGAGCTTGACATTTTTATGGGGGAGTGGGGACGTAAAGGAACTCAAACTCTTCTGTGTACTGACCTGGTTTCATGCCCTCCAGGCCCCCTCATCGAGACCAGAGCGTCCCGCAGGATCGCAATTCAAAGACGGCTACACCAGTGGTAAGTTGTTGTAGTCTCACATATCGCACCTCCATGCCAAATGTGAGCCTCTGTATTCAATGCTATGCCGAGTCTCAAGAGGTCACATGCTTTCCCTAGTAATCACAATATCCTAGGCTATATAACACCTTCACAATCAATGCATAAATATGTATACAATACAGTATCAACAAACACAGAATTTTACGAGTCATGGTGTGACTCTTTTGGGTTGATGCATATGTTTGCTGGTGTTTGTGACAATGGATGCGTTGCATGACTTGAGAAAATGTTATTTTGCATGCCTATTCAAAGACAGAGTTTTGCTTCCATTGGTATGCAATGTTAACCTTGTGTGTACCCTATTGCAGACAGCAGTTCTGACTGGAGTCAGCGGACAGGCTATGACCTGCCTAATCTGCAGCAGGAGTTCAGGACCACGCCAGAGGGAGCCAGGAAAGAGACAGACGATGCACTGCCTGACAAAATTAAGGTACAAGAACTGCATTTGGCAGTTAATTATGTCTTTATATGCCAATCTGTGTATTTGAGTGTATTGGTGTAGATGTCTGGTTTGCACATGGTTTTATGTTTATGAGATGAATGTCTGTACATGTGTCCACTCCAGAACCTGCTCCGTGAGGTGCACCAGGAGGGTATGCAGGTGCTGTCCCTGTCAGAGCTGCCAATCCCAGAGGGTGAGGCTGACCCAGCCAGCCTGCTCCACCATGCCCAGGGCTGGCCCAAAGAGAGAGAGGCCTTGCTGGCCACCGTGGAGTCCCTCAAGGCCCTCATTGCCCAGATGCAGACGCACAGCAGGGAAACACAGGTACAGTACTGGTAGCGTCTGTACTGTGTAGCGCGGATACTTTGTACAAGTAGCCTCTCTTAAATACAGTAGGGGTTTTGTTGGTCTTAGTTTAACCCCCTAAGGTCGATGACTGCGCCCACGTGAAAATCGAATTAGCTAGAGATATCTGTCTCAATCCACCACATCCACCTATGTCGCACTTCCGCATCTGCGGTGAAAGGTGACAGAGCTACAGCAGTGTTTGTCGGACCGTGAGACATTTTGCTCTACGACCCCTACAAGCGTCTTGGGACTCGTCTGAAGTCGGTACAGCTGATCTACCAACTTCTGTCTGTAGCGTCCGAACAGTTTGGGCTCTAGGAAACCCACAGTCCTCACTCGTCTGAAGGTCCCCCGGTACCAGTCGAAAAAATAATGGAAATATATATGGAGACTGTTTAGTGGCAAAAATAAGGGGTTAAATACATGTTAAAAAATATATAACAAATGTTTCCTGATCTTTCTTGTATATCTGAGATATAGAATAGACACTTCAGAACAAACTTCCTTTAGATTTTTTGGGGGGACTGTCTGATGTTCCATGTAGTGAATCTGTTAATCAATGCGTTTGTATGGGCTAATAGCAGTAAGGCCAAATAAACATTTACATCAAATAAGTGTTTTCTATATATAGCTTAGTGGAACACCCCCCCCCCCCCAGCTTAGACTGATGGGTTAAATGAAACATAGCTTTTAAGGAAACCGTTTTTTCCACCTGTTTTCTATAAATATGTGTCTGTGCTTGTGTATGTTCAGACTCCAGGTAGTGCGGACTGGCGTGGAGAGCTGCTGGGGGCGGTGCAGCAGGTGTTTGTGAGGGAGCGGAGTGTGCTGAAGAGCACCCTCTATGCCCGACTGGACCAGCTGGACACTAGCGACGCTATCATCCACCTCAACCAACTGGAGCACAGGCTAGCCGAGCAGGTCACTGAAAAACGATGTAAACTTTAGCCTAACTTCTGGCTAACCTTAGCATTAGCCTCAACTAGCTGGAGCACAGGCTAGCCGAGCAGGTAGCTAATAAACACACTCAGGTTAGCCTATTAACTAGCTGGAGAGTGGGATATAGCCAATAGGTAATACAAAAAAATAGAGCCGTTTTAGTCTAGGGTCTATTTCTCCACTTTGTAGAAAAACCTGGTGGTCACATGCATTGTTTTTAAGTTCCAAGGCTAAACTGTGTATGTGTGTATATCTACAGGACACCCATCACAGGGATGCCATGGGGATGCTGCAGGCTGCAGACAGAAGCAGTTTGCTGACAGAGGTCCTGCAGCTCCAGGCCCAGCTACAACAAATCCAAGCCCAGGAGCCTGGCAGAGGAGGCAGATCCAATCAAGGTCTGTAGTCTGGCCCTCCAATGGCTTCTCATACCGTGTGTGTGTTTGTGTGTGGTAAGGACACAGGGATGATGGATGAATGGGTGGGGGCTGGATGAATGGATGGATAAATTCATTGATTTATTGATTGACTGACTAATATCTATAGTAAATTGTCTTAGATGAGGTCACAGCTATTCAACTCAATGCAACCAATATCATGAATTTAAAAAGGAGAAACAGCAGCTGATTCTAATGCCTTGCATGTTGTTTTGTCTGGCTGCTCGTCCCACTCAGGTGTTCAGCCCAGTGTTCAGCCTGGTGTTGAGCAGCAGAGGGAGAGAGGAGCTCCTCAGTCTGGTTTGAGTGGCGTTCAGGAGACCCCCACACTGCAGCAGGCTGACAGGGCTCTGCTGGAGGAGCTGAAGGGAGAGCTGGCCCAGACCAAACTAGAGCTGGAGACTACACTCAAGGCCCAGCACAAACACCTGAAGGAGCTGGACACAATCAGGTAAGGTTTTAATGCACGCTCACACACACACACACACACTGTGTCTTAGTTTGACATAAAAGAGCAGAATATTCTCAGGTAAGACTATTTAGAGATATACAGAAACAAACATCGACTTACACTCACCTTCCCAGCCTCGGTATTACATACACATATAGTTGACCTTCCTGGTTGCTGTTGGATGGATCCAGACTGGTGTCGTTGTCTTTGTTTCTAGAACGGAGGTGTCACAGAAGGCTGCTGAGGTGAACACCCTGACGGACAGACTTGCAGGCGAACAGAAGAAGGCCAGAGAGCTGCAGTGGGCCATCGAGAAGGAGAAGTGTAAATCAGACAAGAAAGAGGAGATTGAGAGCGAGGAGCTGGAGGTAAGACAGTTTGTAGTGAAGGTAGTAGACTGGTGTAATTTCACACAAGTGTGATCAGGTATGTGTATACTTGTTTCCACATTTCTTCACTTTAGTGTATTTTACTTAAATGTAGTGTTTTACTGATGTGTTCACCTTAGTCACTGGAGTATGTCTACTCAAGTGTTTTTCACACGTATCTCTGTCTTTACACCCCTTCCCTCCAGGATCTCAAACTGGCCTTAGAGGAGCAGCAGAGTCACGTAGCCCAGCTGACCTCAGCCCTAGACCAGGAGCGCCAGTCCACCTCCCAGCTCTCAGTCCAGGCCGAACAGGAGCGCTCCAGGCTGCAGACCCAGGCCTCAAAGCTCCACGTCCAGCTAGAGTCGGAGCGAGCCCGGGCCCAGGAGCTGAGTAGCGCCCTGGGGAGAGAGAAGGAGCTCCGCCAGCATGGCTCCTCCTGGGGTGAAAGCCCAGAGGGGGAGGGGGCTGAGAGGGGGGAGGATGAAGTGGTGGGAGGGACGATGTCATCCGAAGCGCTTCTGGAGGGACTGCGGAGGGAGCTGGACGAGAAGCATGCTCAGGTGGGCTGTTTGTTTGTAGATGAAGCAGATACACACACGTACATACACACTAGTTTACTTACAGTAAGTCTTATGATGCAATGAAGGGGGCTGTGCTTCGACCGATTGGTTCTCCTCCATGTCTTTCTCACGCAAACACCCACAGGCACAGCCACACACAGCCCCCGAGCGCCTTCCATTACAACTGTTGGATTTTCAAATCTAAACAACGAGAAATCTCAACCCCCCAGGATGTTTTTTTTGTTGAGAGAACCAATCAAGTCTGCACAATTTCTGAGCAAATATTGCATAAACAAACAAACCCCTTTCAAGAACAGTGAGTCACAGCTCTTTCTCGCTGTGTGGTCACATCAGCCAGGCTGCTGTCAATGCCCTGCACACAGGAGAGTCACAGAAAGTGCTAGCAAAAATATTGTGTTGGCATTATGTCCAGTTACAGTACCAGTCAAAAGTTTGGACACACCTACTCATTCAAGGGTTTTTCTTTATTTTTACTATTTTCTACATTGTAGAATAATAGTGAAGACATCAAAACTATGAAATAACACATATGGAATCATGTAGTAACCAAAAAAGTGTTAAACAAATCAAAATATATTTTAGATTTTAGATTCTTCAAATAGCCACCCTTTGCCTTGACAGCTTTGCACACTCTTGGCATTCTCTCAACCAGCTTCACTTGGAATGCTTTTCCAACAGTCTTGAAGGAGTTCCCACATATGCTGAGCACTTGTTGGCTGCTTTTCCCTTCACTCTGCCGTCCGACTCATCCCAAACCATCTCAATTGGGTTGAGGTCAGGGGATTGTGGAGGCCAGGTCATCTGATGCAGCACTCCATCACTCTCCTTCTTGGTCAAATAGCCCTTACACAGCCTGGAGGTGTGTTGGGTCTTTGTCCTGTTGAAAAACAAATGATAGTCCCACTAAGCCCAAACCAGATGGGATGGCGTATCGCTGCAGAATGCTGTGGTAGCCATGCAGGTTAATTGTCACAGTGTCACCAGCAAAGCACCCCCACACCATAACACCTCCTCCTCCATGCTTTACGGTGGGAACTACACATGCGGAGATCATCCGTTCACCCACACTGCGTCTTACAAAGACACACCGGTTGGAACAAAAAATCTCAAATTTGGACTGCAGACCAAAGGACACATTTTCCACCGGTCTATTGTCCATTGCTCGTGTTTCTTGGCCCAAGCAGGTCTCTTCTTCTTATCGGTGGAACCTTTAGTAGTGGTTTCTTTGCAGCAATTCGACCATGAAAGCCTGATTCACACAGTCCCCTCTGAACAGTTGATGTTGAGATGTGTCTGTGATTTGAACTTTGTGAAGCATTTATTTGGGCTGCAATTTCTGAGGCTGGTAACTGTAATGAAATTATCCTCTGTAGCAGAGGTAACTCTGGGTCTTCCATTCCTGTGGCGGTCCTCATGAGAGCCAGTTTCATCATAGCGCTTGATGGTTTTTGCGACTGCAGTTGAAGAAACTTTCAAAGTTCTTGAAATGTTCCGTATTGACTGACCTTCATGTCTTAAAGTAATGATGGACTGTTGTTTCTCTTTGCTTATTTGAGCTGTTCTTGCCATAATATGGACTTGGTCTTTTACCAAATAGGGCTATCCTCTAGTCACAACACAACTAATTGGCTCAAACGCATTAAGAAGGAATGAAATTACACAAATTAACTTTTAACAAGGCACACCTGTTAGTTGAAATGCATTCCAGGTGACTACCTGGTTGAGAGAATTCCAAGAGTGTGCAAAGCTGTCATCAAGGCAAATGGTGGCTATTTGAAGAATCTCAAATATTAAATATATTTTGATTTGTATTACACTTTTTTGGTTACTATATGATTCCATATGTGTTATTTCATAGTTTTGATGTCTTCACTATTATTCTACAATGGAGAAAAAAAATGGAAAAATAAAGAAAAACCCTTCAATGGTAGTGTATGTCATGTGATTCTGCACCCCCACTAAATTGTGCCGCCCTATTGGCTCATCAGGTGCAACATTACATAGGCTTTGCTGTTATAGTAACTATAGTGACCTCCACTTCTGCATTCCCACTGTGACCTCCTATTTATTCCCTCTTCAGGTGGTTAGTCTGCTGGACGAGGTGGAGGCCCAGAAGCTTGCGGCTGTGCGATGGGAACAGGAGCTGACCTCGGCAGCTCAGAGGTCATGCCAGGACCAGGAGGCTCTTCGGGAGGCCAGGAGCCAGCTGGAAAGCCTAGGGGAGCAGGCGCAGGAGGCCATGGCGCAGCTGGAGAGAGAGGTGCAGCAGGGGAAGCGGCTGGAGCAAGAGAAGGAGATGCTGCAGGAGAAAGTGGTCCGGCTGGGAGAGATGAGAGAGGTGGGGGGGGTTGGGAGCAGTACGCAGCAGCAGCCTGATAACCAAAACGTGGGTCACATTTATATATCCTACATTCATACACTTTGAATGAACCAAATACAGCGCTTTTGTATCAGATAGTACAATTTAAATGTGTTTTAGAGAAAAATCCAATAGGAATATGTTGTATTGTTTTCTTAGCTATTGGTACTACAATATATTGCGTTTTTTAGGATCTTATTGTTAGAACCTGGCTATGTATGATAAAATAATAAATAATAGATAGCCATGTTAACTCTGTTGTGCTGTGTTGCGCTGAGCAACAGGCCTGTATGATAATCCATAATAGATACGCTATATATACAAAAGTATGTGGACACCCCTTTAAATTAGTGGATTCGGCTATTTCAGCCACACCCGTTGCTGACAGGTGTATTAAATCGAGCACACACCATGCAATCCATATACAAACATTAGCAGTAGAATTACCTTACTGAAGAGCTCAGTACTTTCAACGTGGCACCGAAGTACAAACGTCTAGGAGCAACAACACGAAGTGGTAGGCCACACAAGCTCACAGGACGGGACTGCTGAGTGCTAAAGCGCGTAGCCCGTAAAAATAATCTGTCCTCGGTTGCAACTCTCACTACCGAGTTCCAAACGGCCTCTGGAAGCAACATCAGCACAATAACTGTTCGTCGGGAGCTTCATGAAATGGGCCGAGCAGCCGCACACAAGCCTAAGATCACCATGCTCAATGCCAAGCGTCGGCTGGAGTGGTGTAAAGCTCACCGCCATTGGACTATGGAGCAGTGGAAACGCGTTCTCTGGAGTGATTAATCACGCTTCACCATCTGGTAGTCTGACGGATAAATCTGGGTTTGGCGGATGCAAGGAGAACGCTACCTGCCCGAATGCATAGTGCCAATTCTAAAGTTTGGTGGAGGAGCAATAATGGTCCAGGGCTGCAAAGGTGGGACCAACTCCATATTAATGCCAATGATTTTGAAATTAGACTTTCGATGAGCAGGTGTCCAAATACTTTTGGTCATGTAGTGTAATAATGTTAAGGTGGTGCTGTTTTACGCTCAGCAACATAATTATAATGTATTATAATCCACAATTAGGGCCATTTAAAAGTCCATTGTACATAAGTTATTTAAACTCTACTGTGCTATGTGTCTTCTGAACTGAAACTTTTCTGTACCGTGTCTGTGCCAGCAGCAGGCCGTGTGGCGAGGCAAGCCCACCGACCGGACCAGAGACTGGGTGTTCCAGCAGAAGCCTGGCGACTTGCTGACTATCGAATCTAGCACGCCCTCCCTCCTTGAGGTCACTGGGACAGTGGGCAACCTCGCCCCCCACCATAACCCCAAACACTCAGACAAGGTCTTGGGCAAACTGCAGCTCATCGCAGCCAAAATCCAAACCATGGTCAGCAAGGGCTCTGGCAGGTATGTCTCAAAACATTTGTACATGTTATATTCATGAGTTCAACATTTGATTGAAGTTAACTGTTGTAGTGAGTGGTCAATATATGTGCAGGTGTAGATTTATGTAGTCAATGTGTGGATTGATCCATGTGCGTGTGTGCAGGCTGACTACGGAGGTGGACAGTGAAGGGCTGTTGTGGCTGCAGACCAACATTGATGAGGTCATCACTATGCTGCAGCAGTCCCCAGCGCTCCCCTTGGTCCCTGAAGTAAGATGACACTTCAGACTACTTAGATTAGATTGTTGTTTATTGTCCTACAAAAATATCTTAGCACAGCTCACACATTATATACATAAACATTTACATTTACGTCATTTAGCAGACGCTCTTATCCAGAGCGACTTACAGTTAGTGAGTGCATACATTTTCATACTGGCTCCCCGTGGGAAAAGAACCCACAACCCTGGCGTTGCAAGCGCCATGCTCTACCAACTGAGCTACAGGGGACTAAACCACATAAAAAACCAACAGGAAACAAACAATGGTCTTAGTCAGACTTAAATAGTATCCCCCTGCCCCACACCTGTACATATAGGAGAAAGCTACTCTACTTGATGTATAGAGTATTTCAGTGACTACTGAGTACTGACATTTCTTCTCTGCTGTGTCTATAGAGCGCCGCCCTGCTGGCGGAAGGCCAGTCCAACTCCCTGACAGAGCGGCTGCTGAGGCAGAATGCTGAGCTCACTGGCTTCGTCAGCCGTCTGACAGTGGAGAAGAACGATCTGCGCAACCAGGCCCTCCGCCTGGAGGATGAGCTTCGACGCTACCGCCAGGCTGGTCTGGGATCAGGGGACAGCGTGAGTTACAATACTAGATCTAATGCTATTCAGGGCTAGTGACAGGTCTGGGATCAGTACAGTACTAGTCTAATACTATACAGGGCCAGTGGCAGGTCAGGAATCTAGAGATGGGACAGAGAGTACAATACTGGATTGCAGAGGCACCTAGAAATGGCAGAGAAGTAAGTGTGTGGAGACATTGCTTTAATTTGCACCACCCTAACACGACCCCTCTCTACCTCTATCCCTCCCTCCAGTCCAGCAGGAGAGGCGGTGTGGACAAGCAGCAGGAGGCGGCCAGCCTTCTGTTCTCGTCGGAGCGCGAGTCCTGGACCAGGGAGAGGAGCCGGCTGGAGAAGGGCCTGCGTCTAGCCCAGGCCGAGGTGACCCGACTCAGGGGAGAGATCCGGACAGAGTCCCTCAGAGACATGACCGGACCGGACACAGACAACGCCACACTGAAGGTGAGCTCAAAGCTGCCCTGCATCTCTCCATGACACTCACCTCTTTCAAATATACCACTTTTCCACTCATTGTCAGAGTTGAATAGCAAATATATTGTTGCACATCTATAAAACCCACTTAACTCTCACACTTACACTTTTTCAACACTCCTTTCTCCCTCTCCTATTCCCCTTCTCCAGAGGATGTATGGCAAGTACCTGCGCTCCGAGAGTTTCCGCAAGGCCCTCATCTACCAGAAGAAGTACCTGCTGCTGCTGCTCGGCGGCTTCCAGGAGTGCGAGGAAGCCACGCTGTCCCTCATCGCCCGCATGGGCGGCCGGCCCTCCCACTGCAGTCTGGAGTCCCTGACGCAGTGCCGCCGAGGGCTGACGCGTTTCCGCTCGGCCGTCCGCGTCTCCATCGCCCTCTCCAGGTAAACAATGGGAACTGAAGCGGTAGGATGGTGTTGCAACTGTTAGGAGGCTATAGTATAGCTGATCACTTATGATCATGCAGACAAGCTCCACAGTTTTAAAGGTTTTATTACTAGCATATCGCCCTCTCCAGGTAAACAGAGCAGCGAAGGCTGTTGTTGTTATGAGGCTATAGCTGCTGAATTATAATGCTCTGCAGTTTAAAGGCCTTTATGATGAGTTTATAGCTAAATTATACTTCTGAAAGGCTTAGTTAAGCTTATAGCTAGCTTATTAGTTATTACTTTGAAGACAGGTGCTTGATTGTAAACGACTGTTATTATGAGTTCATACAGCATCAGACCGTGTCAGTAGTTATTTTGATACAAAACACAGATGGATAGTTCTGATAGATAGTACTGTAGGCTCACAACTCATGTACTCCAATGGTCCTCTACCCCATCTGTTCTTTCAGAATGCGTTTCCTGGTCAAGCGATGGCATAAAGCTACGGGGATGAGCTCCATAACATCTAGCAATATGAATAGAAACGGTCTGGGACAGTCAACAGGTATGGAAATCACATTCCCTCACACTATCCCCAACACAAGGAAAATGAACTGGGAAAATCCCATGGAATGAATTAACTGGTTATCGAGTTAAATGGTAAAGAACCAAGGTAGGCTAACCTAGGCTTACACACTTGTAATCAATTAAGTGCTGATTGGTCAGGTGGTCCACAATGCGAGCTAACCTAAATAAATAACCTGAATATTCTAAAGTGCCAGGTTCAATAAAAAAACAGAAAATTAATAATTACCTTTTTATTGGTTTTCAAAGTTATCCGGCTGACTCATTGATCCGGTTTTGTGAGAGAAAACCCCCACAGAGGACTGACAACTGTTTCTCTTCCTCTTCAGGTAATGAGGTGAGGACAGACTCACCCTACCTGCATCCTGGGAGTGTGGAGGTGTACGGGGAGAGGAGAGCGGCCAGCAGGGGGCGCACTGGACAAGACTCCCCCAGGTCCGCCCTCTCCTCTGCACAACACAGGTTCCACATGGCTGGGGACCCTGGCCCTCTGACCTGCTCCCACCTCCAAAACTACGACCCTGACCGAGCGCTCACCGACTACATCTCCAGACTGGAGGCCCTGCAGAGGAGACTAGGGAGTGTGCAATCAGGTAACACACACACACACACACTTCCAACCATACATATACTACCTCACACGATCTAGAGTTAAATAATGTAATGCCATAAGCAGAAATTGCCCTCTCATTCAATCACTCAACAAAATATGTGCAGATGATGCTTGCAATGTTCTTGTCAAGAGTTAAGTCTTGGGATCTAAACAACTTCATTTTGCCCTTCCTAGGTTCTTCTTCATATGCTCAATTGCACTTTGGAATAAGAAGGTAAAAGTCTACAATTTACATTGGAACTGGCTTGAAGAAACTGTTGTCTTTTCTTGTGCTGAGCTTTGGTATTTTGTATCATTCTGCTGTGTACAGTATATATATTACGTGGGGACCAAAAACAATTTTTGTGTGTAGACATCTTTTAATCGGGCTTTTTGTCACCAGCACTTGAAACAGCTTCTATGTTTGTAAACTTTGGTCTGCCTCTTTGTTGTGGATTAACACAATCACGTGAAATGTATATTTGTGGAATGCTAATTTAAACGAAAAACCTTGATTCATTTAATTTATACTGTGTATGTTACTTTGTGTGGGTGGAAAAATACGTAGAGCAGGCTTCTCCGGAAAACCCCAGTCCTAGAGAAGTACTAGGTGGGTGTGCAGGTCTTTGCTCTGGCCCAGCACTAACACACCTGATTTAAATTAACCGTGGTTTCTTAAACGGTAGACCATGATTGGTTGATGATTGGAAATTGTTGTTAGTGCCGGGCTGGAACAAAAGCCTGCACACCCAGTAGCTCTCCAGAACGGGAATTGGGAGAACTCTGACATGGAGAATGTTTGACTTTACTGTTGAGGAGGCTGCTACAGGATCTATATACACTACACTGTGTTTTATAGAATGGTTTCTTGGACAGACTACAATTTGTAGAAGACATATTTTTGTAAAGGTAGGAGCTTCTGACTATTCTGGGTATTTTGTCCAACATTTAAATAAAGATGCATTTTAACACTTGAAATATGTGGTCGCACCATTTTTTGAATTCAGCTTCACTGACACATACAATTAGATTTTACAGGTACACATTTAATTAGTTCTGTTGTAAAACAAAAAAGCTAAAATGTGAATCTGGTATGGGGGAAATGCACAGTCAATGCAATTATGGTGTAAAGACAAATTGGACATGAGATTTCGCCTCCTGGAATTCACATGGCATCATCTTAGATATGATTTGTATATAAAAGGGGCCAATGTTCACAAAATTAGGCTTCAAACAGTAAAATTAATCGAAACAAAATGGGGTAATCATTTTCCATCATCATGGCACTACATGGGTTAAACTACACCCTGACCTTCCAACATTCCCACTCAATACACTAAGTCATGTTTATTAGAGCACACAACAGAAAATGTGTCTCTTGTTGAGCAAGTGCAGGTTCTCCCTCCCTGTTTCAAGTCCGTTTTCTTTGTCTGACCCAGCCCAGGTCCTCTATCTTTGTACAATTATGAATGGACAGTACATACAAAGTCAGTGCTCGTCAGTTTGATCACTGATCTCTATGAAGCAATGGATAAGGATCAGTGGTTTTAATATTTCTGTGTAGGCTTACATCAGTGGTGGCTGGTGTCCCGTTAAATCAGAGGACGGGCTCATAGTAATGGCAGGAACTGAACAAGTGGAATGGTCTCACATCAAACAAGTGGTTTCCATGTGTTTGACTCTATTCCATTCTACTCCATTCCAGCCATTACTATGAGCCGTCCTCCCCTCACCAGCCTCCTGTGGCTTACAATACATTCTAGCAACTCAAAAACACCGCAAACATAAGGTGGGGGCAACACAAAGTAAAGTGAATTTGATTTTCAGACAGAACTCTGTGCATTCATTTGAACAGTTCCTAAATTCAAGTACAGGAATGATCTCTAAATCAAACAGTTAAAGGTAAGGTTGTTTGTTGTGGCAAATCTGAAATGGCTACCTATTTTCTTGAAATTGAAATGGTGTAACCTCTTCTCTGCTGTGTTTTGCGCTCAGTGTCTCTTAGTGTTGCCTCCTCTTGTATCTGATGATGGGGTTGTGTGGGGTGTGGATCATGGTTGTGTAGTTGATTGTGGGGAAGTAACCATCGACCAGGTCGAACTCGTAAAGGCGCAGCATGGTCGACCAGATGGTCTTGATCTGAACGTAGGCAAAGTTCTCCCCGATGCAGCGGTGACGGCCTAGAGGACAGTGAACATCAGTGGGGTTTTTTTTTGTCATGGTAATGAGGGTAAAATCAGATGAAACTTTGTGGCATGAGACAGCTTGGTATGGTAGTAATGGGAGTAAAGTTCATATGTTGAGCAAGAGCCCCACCTACTGACAAAATACAGCTTTTTTGTCTACTTATTTACGAATGAAAATGCATACTGTATGACAGATGTTTCCCCTACCATTGTGTATATTCTTTGACACTTCTTAAAGACTGCAGATCACCTTACTTATAACATGCTGTTAATAGGGATGAAAAAACTACAAAATATTCTTACCGGCTCCAAAGGGCACATAGGCAAATTTCTCCCCTGCGGCAGGGTTGTCGTTAAGGTAGCGGTCAGGCCTAAACTCCATCCTCTCTGTCCAGGTGTCCTGCAGACGGTGGTTGACTGTCGGGGACACACACACCTGGTGGCCGGCTGGGATGGTGTAGCCTGCTACAGTCTGGGGGTGGATTGAAGCAAAGGGTCAGGGTTGGTCAATGGTCTCTCACCTATTGTACACAAATGCATTTAGCTGGGTTGGGGCTCCATTCCATTTCAATGTAAATAAATAAATGTATTTGGACAAATTACATTATTCCCATTTCTCGCCGTCAAATTCAGTGTGCAAAAAGTTTTCAATTTACTGATATTCTAATGGATTTGTAAAATCTCTATGACGGTAGTAGGAATAACTTAATGGACATTGGTAACTGCACAACAAATAATGATATTGATCTTACCTGAGGAGAGCGTGCCATTCTCATCATGGTCATGATGGGTGGACGGAGTCGAAGGGTCTCTTTCAAACAGCGGTCCAACAAAGACAGGTCCTTCAGCTGAGGAGTGAACAAGACCAGGTAAGTAAAGACCATGTCAAATATTGAAATGATCAAAACTGTCCAAATGAATAGCTGAACTTATGGTTTAGCAGTCTAGAAAGAAGGTTTCTAACTGAAGTTGCTTACATACAATATCCAAATTACCCCGTTTAATTGGAATATGGTCAAAAATAAACGGATCTAAATAAGTTTCAACAAAATAATTCATAAAAATGTATGTACCTATATGTAATATAATTGATTATGTGAATATAGTCTTAACACATTTGTAAGCCAGTATAAAAACATAATTCATATTTTCAACAACAAAGCCGTAGTGTAGTCTATGGCCATTTTTGTGCAGTTGGCAATATGCCAGTTATGGATTCTGACCTGGTCAAAGTTGAGTGGGGGCAGGTCTTCTCCACATGTAGTTTTCTGTTCAGCATAGCAGCGGTCCTGTAGGGCCTTATCTTTGCCCAGGAAGAAGCCCAACCAGGAACTAGTGGTGGAGGATGTGTGCTGTCCGGCCAGGAGTAGACCAATCAGCATGCCCGCTATCTCATCATCATTCAGGGGCTGCCCATCCCTTAAAAAGGGCAGAAATAGTTAGGACTGAATCAGTCAAATGGTACAACAGTTGTAGAACACCTTTGAACCAAATGCCTTTCACTTCAGTTCTGTTGGGAGGCATAGATACTTGTACCACATGTAGTAATACTGGCATCTGTTCCACTTATGTCTTACTTGTAGGTGGCATCTATAAGGGTCTGCAGCATGTCGTCCACTTTCTCTCCAGAGCTTCTGCGTTTCTGGGTGACCTTGTAGAAGATGTTCTTGATCTCCCTGTGTGCTCTGTCCCTTCGTCTGTACAAAAATGACAAAACCTGTGTTTTTTCTTGCCCTATAGAAATAAGATATTCTCATATTGCTATTACAGAATTAATACAGTAAGAATAATTAATAATAAATAATAATATGCCATTTAGCAGACGCTTTTATGCAAAGCAACTTACAGTCATGCGTGCATACATTTTTGTGTATGGGTGGTCCCGGGGATCGAACCCACTACCCTGGCGTTACAAGCGCCATGCTCTACCAGCTGAGCTACAGAGGACCACCCATACACAAAAAGTCCAACTCAGTCTATCAATCAAAACCCTAACCTGAGGTTAGAACCGTGAATGAAGTTTCATGAATCATCATTTCCAGCAACCGTTCTGGTAACTCAGTCTAGCTTGGTCTTTCACACAAAAAAACCTAACCTGAAGGTGGAACAGTTTGAATTGACCCTTGGTTGAGGACAGGACAGTATGAATGAAGTCTTTCTCTTACCTGAAACTGGGCAGGGGCAGCCAGCCGGGCAGCAGCCAGGCAGCGTGGCTGAAGCCCCCGTCCAGGTCTGCGTAGAGCTGGGCCACCTTCTCATCCAACATGCTGCGGATCTCCTTCCCATGCAGACAGGCACTGGCTGTCAGGATGATCAGCTCCGACAGGGCCTCAAACAGGTCTGAGAGAGGGAGGAGTGGAAGAGATGGGGCGTTAGGAAGGAGTGAAAGGGAGAGATGGAGATCGATGGAAATAGTGAATGAAAGAGTGAGAGAGAACAGAGGTCAGAATTGCTGACTGGATAACTTTATGACTGCGCTATGGCTCAAATGTTATGGCGTGTAACAAAATATATGACGTGTTCATAAACAGCGACGCGTTCCAAACAGATTCTATCAAGAGTGTGAAGCAAAAGGCTGCAGTCATTAGCAACCCGTTAAGCATCTGTGCATGTGCATGGGAGATCACTGCTCTCTTGAGCAACATAATAGCTACAGTACATGACAACAAATATTGACTAGATTAGCCTCTTGCTTCTTACTCTCTTTGTTCGTGTCAGGAGTCGCTCTGTTAAACGCTACTTTTGGTAATGTCATATCGCTACCCTACCTTTTACAGAAAAAAAAGTAACTATCTTAAAATGGATGGCAAGGTTCAAACTGTATTACAGTCGTTACAACACATTGATTATGTGTGTATAGTTTAGGTATTACTGCACTGTTGGAGCTAGAAACACAAGCTTTCACTGCACTTGCGATAACATCTGCAAATCTGTGTACGCGACCAATAAACTTTTATTTGATTTTGTTATCATGAGGTATTACTAGAGAATGTGTTGATGGGAAATTATGCTGAATGGCTCATTTTCTGAAAAGTTGACACTGTGCTGACACCTAAAGTCCACTGTACTTCACCCAAGTCCCTACCCCCTGAGCTCTTCTTATAGGTCTGAAAGGATTGGCTAAGTAACGTTATACTGTATTAATAATTCAACTTTGCCCTCAAATAGGCCAAGTGGGAAATGTATCATTCTGCTTTTGGCTTTTCAATCCTTTTAGGTCTACATGAAGTAGCTACCGTAGGGGCTAGGGGTCGATTTGGAACTGGGCATTTGGATTACTTTCCACATGGAATACTGTAAAAACTCAGAACGGTTGTAATGGCGCTGTCATCTTACTTTCTTCCCCACTGTCTCCCCATCGTGAAAAGTACTCCTTAGTTTCCTCCTCGATGATTTCAACGTGCTGTTTGAAATGGGCGATGTTCAGTCCTGTCTTAAACATCTTCTTCTGTTCCAGGAAGATCTAAAAAAGAAAACGAGCGGCATAATTAGACTTAATTAGCTTAATCAATACTTAGTTTATGATAGGTTTATGAGATGAAACATAAGACCAACACACTTCTGGCAACACTTCTTTATGTGTGGTAACATTCTCTCTACATTCTCTCTACATTTGTGAGTGTGAATGGGAGTATCTGAGTAAGTATTTATTCGCTTACATGGTTAGGTACATCGTAGGCAACCCCTTTGCCAAAAACTGGCGTGGTCAATCGAGAATAGACATCCTCTGCATTGAGCTCTTCGTTCTTGCTGTTGAACATCAGTGTGGCTGCCTCACTACCCAGAAGGTAGGTAAAGGTTTTGCCCACCATGGTAAAGCTGACAACAGGCCCATACTGTGAATAGAAAGAAAATTAACCTACTATAAAGGGCACTTTCACATGGCACTATACACCAGTAAGGTAGAGCAACAAAAGCTGTATATGAAATAAATTATTGCAAAGTGAATGCAATTTATTAGTGCACAATTTGTAAACAAAAATAGGTAGCACTAAAATATATGAAGTATACTTTACAGCAGTACTGTATTCTTACCTTTTCATATGCATTCTCCAGAAATTCAATGGGACTTTTCCCAAATGCTATGGCATGACCCAGAAATGGAATGCTAGAAGGTATGTATGGTGGGTATTTCTGAGAAAATAAAAACTCATTTAGTTACAAGAATAAAATACACAAGTCAATTGATTTTGAACAGGCTATGAATGCGCCATGATACTGTAAAATTCACTGTAGCAGCCCTAATAATAATGTAATATATAATGTAACTCAACTGATGTATTCTTCATGTACATACCTTGTCAGTGTCTGAAGAAGATTGTGACTGTTTGAGCACCAGTTTAGAAATATATCCCAAAGTTAGGGTGATCACAAACACTGCAAGGACCACTGATGTCAAGTTGTCACTCATTTTCCCGACTGTATTTTCTAGTAACATACTACTAACTTGATATAAATGCATAGCCATTGTTACGTCTTCTGTTGTTTCTTTCAAATTGTTGTAAGATATTGTAGGCTACTGCGTCAGACTCCTTGCATTTGCAACAAATCCGTTTTCCGGTTGTGATGTCGCTTCTACATCATCTAATTCGGTTTTCCTGAAGGCTCGAGGCTATTTGTATTAGCGGAAAATAGTGTTCCCCAGTGCTCAGTAAAATCCCTCTTTATTCCAATGGCATAGTTTCTTCCCTTGTCATTATAGCGCTAAATTATAAGAAGTGACAGATTGTATTGTTTCCCCCGCATCTCTACCTGTCCATGTTAAGTTAGTCCTGCCCCCGCCTGACAAATTAAGGCATTTCATTGGCTATTCGCTGTGTGTCCATCAAATAACCACGCTCCGCGGCTGCCTTCCTGTACTCTGGTTGGCTATCACTACCTGGACTGATGTCTGGCTATATGATGTCACTGTCCGAGTTAAGCAAAATGCCTCAATAGGAGAATCACATTGGTTGAACTACATACAGCGTACAATCGGTATAGATGTAGCTACTGTAGTCCGTAAAGGGTGTGTCAACAGTTGACTAATCATGAAACTTTACATTTAATACAAAAGGGGAAAATGGCAATCTAAATTGTTATATTAGTGAACGTTACAAAGGAATATGCCTAGATGTAGGCTATGTTTGTGTAGTTTACACTGGTATGATTTTTTTATCCAGTTATATTAGGCTATAATTGATTTCGTAATTCATCAATAACCACTCTCACACAATGTTGATGCATATCCAATTGCATTTATTCTCATGGTCAAACAATAATCAATACTTTGGTATGGACTTCACTTTGGTATGGAAAACAAATTACGCCTCTCACAACTTCACAATGTCATGAACTATGCCTCTATTCATATGCCACATTTGACATAGTGTATTCAAAGTCTTATGGCTTTGGCATATATCTTGATGGCCTGAACCTGAGAGGAGAGTGTGTATAGGCCTGCCAAGACCAGAGTCCTCACAAGTTGGTCAGCTATGATAGATGCCTCCTGGTCACTATGGAATAGGTCTCTCCACAGAGTAAGGGCCTGCATGTTTTTTTCCTTCTGGGATGCCCTACACACACAAAGTAATCAAATTGAGTGTCAAATCAAATTGAGTGATTACAATTCCTATCAATTCCTCGATTGTAATTGGACACTGAAATGAAATTGAGGAACACAGTATCTATCACTGAAATTCTATGCCAAATGAGAGGTTTATTGGATGATTCAATTCATACCGTTTATTCTCTTTGGTCTCAAACTCCTCAGTGGGTATCTTAAGTTTCTCACAGAAGTGATCAAAATCATCGCCCTGCAAGTTATTGGCCAGAAACCGGAAAGCCTTTTGTAAGATGTGCTCTATAACAAAATAACAAAGTTGCAACATTACCTCACTTGCCAAGCATACTGTACACAACAATACCATTTGAATATGAAATGTATTGTGGAATGCTTGTGTATTAGCCCCACTGTTCCAGGTGACTTCAGAGCTGAGGTACTGTCCAATGGGGAATATTTGGTGTCCGTCATAGATCTGCTTAGGAGGTCTGGCGAGAGGATTCCCCTCCAGCTCCACCTGCCTCAGAGACTGGAGCTGGCCCAGATCAGGAGGTAAAGACTGGAGAAGGTTCCCTACAGGAAGTAGCATTGTGGAGTTGTTTTCAAATCAGTGAGGAGACATGCATGAATAATAATAACAGGTCCTTAGAATGTACACTAAATAGGATACTAAATTACTATAATAACTTTTTTGATAGTTCACATATTCTCTCAAATATAGTATTGCTGGCTACATAGAACATGCTCTGATGGTTTCTAACTACACTATGCATGATGCCTACCTTTCAACTCAAGATGCTGTAAGCTTTGCAGGGATGTTATAGATTTGGGGAGGTAGGAAATTGAGTTGTTATTGGCTAACAGCTTAGTAAGGTCCTCCAGCTCCCCGATGCTCTCTGGAATCTGCTGCACTACATTGTCTGAGAAGTCCAGTTCCCTCAAATGTCTTAGTTTCGACAAGGTCTTTGGCAGTGTAGTTAGCTGACAAGAAGACACACAGATGATGAGAAACTTTTGAGGAAAATCTTAGCTCTGATATCTGTCCAAAATGTTACTGAATTGTATTTTAGCTCTAGTGGTTGGTGCAAAAAAAGTTATCTTAATTTATGCTCACTATAGCTTACCTTGATGCCTCTCCTGTGGCAGATTTTCAACTTTTCAAGTGATCTCAGATCACATACTTTCACAGGAAATAGGAAGAACTGATTATTGGAAAGGTTGAGGTCTTTCAGTTCTCTGAGTCCTCGTATTTCTGATGGAACTCGTCCTATCTGATTATCAGACAGGTCAAGCACTTGTACTGCCCTAACATGGCGCAACTCAAGGGGGAACTCAGTAAGCCTATTCCCCTGAAGTAGAAGCACTTGTACTCTTTTCAAGCCAGAAATTCCTTCTGGAGTGGTCTGAATTGAATTGTAGCTCAGATCCAAATGGATTAGCCTATGAAGTTGGTAGAGATGCTTGGGGAATTCGCCAGTGAATCGGTTTTCGCTGAGATTCAGGTGCTGCAAGGTGTGGATTTCACCAATGTTGGGGGGTAACTTTGATAAAATGTTTTTACTGATGTCAAGCTGACATAGAGAAAGTCCAGAGCACAGACCCATTGGGAAGTTGCGGAGGTAGTTAAAACTGAGATCCACTGAGGTCAACAGTGAGCAATTTCTTATGTTGAGGGGGAAATTAACCAAATAATTCCTTGAGCATTGCAGAACTGAGAGATTTTTTAGAGAGCAGATTCCTCGTGGCAGTGTTTCTAGCTGATTTTTATTCACCAGTAACTCTCTGAGATGTTCCAAAGCCCCAATGCTCCTGGGAAGTTTTGTTAGTAGGTTTCCAGTGATGCAGAGATGCAGCAGTTTTGAGCATGAACTTATTTTCTCTGGAAGTGTCTTTATCTTGTTGTGACTAAGCTGCAAGACTCTGAGCCCCTTCAATTTCTCCACATCATCAGGAATCAATGTTAGCTGGTTTCTACACAGATTCAGTTCCTCTATGTTAGTCAAGCAGAAAAGCTCTGAAGGCAGAGCTGTCAGGTTGTTGGAATTCAGAGACAGAACTTTGAGTCTTTTCAGCTGGGATATAAACATGGGTAAACTCACTATCTTGTTCCCTGAAAGATTGAGCTCAAAGAGTTTAGGGAGTTGGCATATAACCTGTGGAAGGTATGTCAGCTTGTTTTTCTCCAAATTTAAAACACTGATATTCTTCAAGCATCCAAAAGACTCTGGTAGAGAGGTAAGTCGGTTGCCATTTAGATTGAGAATTTCCAAGGTGGCAAGATCTCCGAAAGCAGATGGCAGGTGTTCGAGTTTGTTGGTGCTTGAATTGAGATGTGTGATATTTTCCAACAGACAGATTTCATCCGGAAGCCTTACAATTGTATTATTACTGATGTCAAGGGCTTTGAGGATGTGCAGGGAGTGGACAGTTGAAGGTATTGAAGTTAATTTGTTTCCTTGAAGAGATAAGAATTCCACATTGTGCAAGTCTCCTATTTCTTCTGGAAGTGTTTTTAGCTCATTGTTTGATAAAGTGAGGCATTTCACAGGTTTTTCCTGAATTAATTCCAAAGGAAAGTTTTTCAGTCCTTTGCTGTTCAAAGATAGTGCAGAGTTTTGGTCTATCATGTCTTCCAACATTATCTCTGACTTTTATTAACCCTGCGAAACGAGATTGCGGTTAGATTTAAGGGCTGTGTTTCGTGTAGACGTACCCTGGCGTGACATTTTGATAACAGTGTAAATCTCTCTAGGACAAGGTGACGTTTATCAATATTTTCGCCTGTATTTACCCCCCCCCCCCCCCCCAAAATGAAATGCTATTTAGCTGCTAATGTGGCTATCATAAAGAACTACAAATGCCATGATGATCTGGACGAGACAGCCGAATCGAGGCAAAGGTAAGAATCTCTGGATTAACTATCTAATATTAGCTTAATGTATAAATTGGCAACACTTATTTAAATGGACAATTCTGTGAACTGTCTTGTGCAAGTTTTAATTTGACACAATACTTGTTAGCAAAGGTGTCAGTTAGAGACAACATGCAGAAGCTTGCAGGGATTTGTAGTCTTGCATGTCTGTGACGCTAATTAGCTTTTTTGAATCTGAGAGTAAATAGAGCCGAATATATTGATAAAAGCCACCTTGTCCGAGAGAGATATACATGGTTATAAAAACGTCACTCCAGTGTAAGCCTACACAAAACACAGCCCTTATTTTATGTGTTTCTAAAATTCCCTATGGGAAAAATTAATGGTGAAAAAACGATTGGAACCATTTCCCTGTTTGACCGCTAGGTTTTATGGGTATTTTGACACCTCCACTGTGGGGCTCTATAGAGCCCAAAATGCATCTGTCATTTCCATACCGTTACAATTATGGCTCGTGTTGTTGGTGAATGTTAAAGTAATGCTACATTGTACCTAACTCATTCCATAAGTTGTTACAACACTTGCTGAGTGAAGATATTGTTATATATTATGTGGTCCTCTGTAGCTCAGCTGGTAGAGCACGGCGCTTGTAACGCCAAGGTAGTGGGTTCGATCCCCGGGACCACCCATACACAAAAAAAAAAAAGAAAAAAAAAATGTATGCACGCATGACTGTAAGTCGCTTTGGATAAAAGCGTCTGCTTTATATATTATATTATATTATATATTATTATTATAATGTAACACTGAAGCTGGCTCTTGGCTGGAAAGCTTCCAAGCACGATCAAAGAGCTAATGTCACTAATTTAAAGCGTATCGTTGCCAAGCGTATCATTTCAATCAGCTATCTTACCACAAAATAATTGTACCTTTGATTTGACCACTACATCGCCATATAAGTTAACTTAATTTGAATGACTATCAGTGATACAGTCAGGAGCTGTCAGCAGGCTACTCACATGGCTACCATGGTTACATAATGTAAACAATGACATCTCCTCTCCCCTCGTGCTTAGAAGTTTGCTAATCGTGCAGAATGCCTTGCATCGAATGCCTTATTACGCACTTAAATTAATTTCACATTATTTTAAACGTTTTAATACAATTGTATCATCGCCGTCTTGTTATCTTGCTCAAGTGGTTTGAAATGACCGTACTGTGTACAAGTTCAGTCATTTATTTGTGCAGAGCGCCCTCAAGTGGCAGCTACTGCTGTTACCGATGCCAGTCATTGGTCTGATTTCTGAGATTGACTCACTCATTTCAGGGTTTAGGCAATTAATTAGGCCTAAGGTCTTTTTGCTTTGCATTGCAGAACTGAAACCATTTCTAGCTGCCACATGCACACAGATATATATTTAAAAAAGTATGTTCATAAGATGTACTGGTATGAGCAGTGCTATTTTAAGCAAAACAGAAGGAATTACACTCATATATTATTAATTTTATTAAAATGAACCATTATATACACATTATTTACAACCATAAAAATTAGAGCATGTAATAATTTGTAAAATTGTAACAGAAATCTTAATATCAAATAAACAAAATGTGAAACATGTCTGTTCTATTGTGATACAAAACTATGTATTTGGTGAAAACATACTTTTTTCTCAAAAAAGCAACGGTCCAATACAAGAAAGCAAAGCAACCGACAAAAAAAGTTCATGGGAATAATATCGTCTTTGAAGGTGAGTCAACCATATGCATACTTGTCTGTTAAACTTCTGTCATTTGGAGTCATTTGTCCACTCAACTTCATTAACAGTTTAACAATAAGGCCAGCCTATTGAGGAAAGAAGAGAAGGAGCCCATGAATACAAGCAATAATATTGCCCAGATTCAACTCTTCAGCTAGAGCCATATGCTATGGTTAATATTTTCTTACAAGTCATACAATCTGCACTGTTTTCCAGGCTACAACACATTGATTCAACATAATCACAGTTAAATGCATTGGAATGACTTGGGAAAGGTCCTATAGTTACCTGTTTGGTGTGCACAATGAAGTTCATCTTGTTTTCCAGACTGTGAATCTGGAAGTACTGATCAGCGTGCCCTAATTGCCACATGAAAGAGCCATACTCCAGACTGATAAGAAGGATCTACAAATACACAGTAAAACATATGCACAGTATCAGTAAAAGAGGGCATTTACATGAAAACATAAAACATATACAAAGCTGGATACTTTTGAGGCTTATTTCTATGCTTAGATATTTACATCCATGCTTACTTTGTGACCAGTAAATAAGAATGTGAAGTATGTTTCATTCATCTTTGTATACTACTGTATTCTGTATACTGCATGGTTAAACATGGTTCTCTTTGTATACATATGGCTCTGGACCCAACAACCAAATAGCCCCGGGGCACCTTTGTCTCCATGTTCATGAGGTGCAGGCCCTTGGTGTTGACGCCCACGAAGACACGGATGACTTTGTGGTTGCTGGAGCTAGCCTTGGTGAAGACCTGGCCCGTGAAGAAGGCGGCACCATAGGTCGGGATGTCCCAGCAGTTCTGCAGGAAGAGCCTCTGGAGGTGGTGCATCTCTTTGCTCACACCCTCACTCATACTGAGGCTCTGTGGGGCGGATAAGGTGAAGTAAGGCTAAGAGTTTGACCTCATAGATATAAATGTATACAAGTTATTACACAAAAACAAAATAATGAAAATAAACTTGACCTTATACTCATGTAGAATCCTGCTTGTCCAATGATGCGCTTTGCTTTTCACCTTGGATATCGGGACAATCGATTTCAGGTTTTCTTCACTGTTGAAAACAAAACATTTACACAGACAGTTATGTCAAAGGTATATCATATTACCACATCTTTATGTACCTTATCTTCAAATATAATCCCAAGATTCCCCCAGTTTGAAAGAAGACTATTATGCTAGATTGATTCAATTCAGGGACCAATTTAAGATATTTACTTAAGGAAGCCCTGCTTGTGCTTCTTGCTCTCATAGTTTCCGTAAATGATCTGCAGCAGCAGGCTGGCCAGGGTGATCAGCTTGCTGTCCGGGGAGGGGAAGAAGCCCTTGAGGAGGCAGTGTCTGGCCTCGTCAAACAGGATCAGGATGGACAGGGGGTCCTCAATCTGGGGGAGAAGATTCAAGCCAATCATGGATGGACTAAAGAATGAATTAATAAACACCAAAACACTTGATCAGTTTAATAATGTGTATTATTACTGGGTTGGAACAAAAGCATGCACACCCTCTGGGTCTCCCTTAACTAGAGTTGTGAAACACTGATCTAAGCAATATTCAAAATCCCAAATCCTTGCTTTACAGATGCAGCACTGCAATAAGAATTGCAAGAAGAACTTCCCCAAGGGGATAATAAAGTTGATCAAAATCGAATTGGTTACAAACCTTTTTTTCAATGTCGAGGGGCAGACGGACATCTCTACGGAGGAAGAGCTGTGGGTTCTCCCTCTGGGGATCCAGGACAGTAAGGTCAGTGACGATCTCTGTCCAGATACGCAGGTGCTGCAGGGGCTTGTGGTAGGGCTTCAGCTGCAGGTCTGACAGAAGACAAGACACACACACACATAGGGTATAATGAGCACAGGTAGCATGGAAATAGGATACTACAGATACAAGAATATGATACCTATGACCAGATATTGGGCGGCCATTTTGGATCTGTGTATTTGTGACTCACTGAGGTTCTCAGAGCAGATCCAGATGGTGAAGTACTGCTGGGTCTCCTTGGAGAGCCGCATGCCCTCCATGATCTGCTGCACTGATGTGTTGTTGCCGTGCTTCAGCTCCACCGAGCGGTACGAGCCATCCATGCGGTAGATGCGCACCTTCTCGTACTGCGGAACAAGCACACAGTTTCATCAATTGCTAAACGTAATAAAAGACACACTCGCAAGTCTTTGACATGTCTGTTGGAGTAGCATACATGCACACACACACACACAGACTTCACACTCACTGGTTTGTTATTGGCTTGCTGTAGGAGTTTCACTGTCTCCTCCCATTCGTTCTGCTTGTTCTCTTCACAGATTTGCAGGGGTGATCTCTTTTGCTGATCCTCTATGTGCTTATAAGAGTATAAAAACAAACAAGCAAAGTTACTTTCTTACTGCTACTTACTACTGGCAACATATTGAAGTCCTAAGATGTTCCACTGGTACCAGCACACCCTACAGTATGTGGTCATAATGCAAATAGGATGGAGGATATACTGTATTCAACCAGGGTTCTACAATTCAGTTCTTGGAGAGCTACTGGGTGTGCAGGCTTTTATTCTAGCACATTTAGGGGTTGAATTGGGAATTAGGGTTAATAATATAATATGCCATTTAGCAGACGCTTTTATCCAAAGCGACTTACAGTGAAAGCCATGCTCACTGTCTTCTGCTGTCTCTCCACACTTTCCTCATGTCCACACCCTGGCTCAACCCTAACTCTAACCCTAGCTTCATGTCCACACCCTGGCTCAACCCTAACCCTAACCTCATGTCCACACCCCGGCTCAACCCTAACCATAACCCTAGCCTTCATGTCCACACCCCGGCTCAACCTTAACCCTAGCTTCATGTCCACACCCCGGCTCAACCCTACCCCTAGCCATAACACTAACCCTAGCTTCATGTCCACACCCTGGCTCAACCCTAACGATAGCCATAACCCTTAACTTAAACCTAACCCTAGGTTCATGTAAACACCCGACTCAATCCTAAACCTACTAGTCATAACCTTACCCATAAGGGAAACACTAATTTCATGCCACCGAAGTGACTTTTTCGTAGCAGGTTAGGAGAACTTATGCAGCAGGTTAAATCAAATCAAATTTTATTTGCCACATGCGCCGAATACAACAGGTGTAGACCTTACAGTGAAATGCTTACTTACAAGCCCTTAACCAACAATGCAGTTTTTAAGAAAATAAAAAAAGTGTTAAGTACAAAATAGATAAGTAAAACATTGCTAATAATTGAAGAGCAGCAGTAAAATAAAATAACAGTAGGGAGGCTATATACAGGGGGTACCGGTACAGTGTCAATGTGCGGGGGCACCGGTTAGTCGAGGTAATATGTACAGTTGAAGTCGGAAGTTTACATACACTTAGGTTGGAGTCATTAAAACTCGTTTTTCAACCACTCCACAAATGTTTTGTTAACAAAACTAGTTTTGGCAAGTCGGTTAGGACATCTTTAGAAGCTTCTGATAGGCGAATTGACATCATTTGAGTCAATTGGAGGTGTACCTGTGGATGTATTTCAAGGCCAACCTTCAAACTCAGTGCCTCTTTGCTTGACATCATGGGAAAATCAAAAGAAATCAGCCAAGACCTCAGAAAAAAAATTGTAGACCCCCACAAGTCTGGTTCATCCTCGGGAGCAATTTCCAAACGCCTGAAGGCACCACGTTCATCTGTACAAACAATAGTACACAAGTATAAACACCATGGGACCACGCATCCGTCATACCGCTCAGGAGACGCGTTCTGTCTCCTAGAGATGAACCTACTTTGGAGCGAAAAGTGCAAATCAATCCCAGAACAACAGCAAAGGACCTTGTGAAGATGCTGGAGGAAACAGGTACAAAAGTATCTATATCAACAGTAAAACAAGTCCTATATCAACATAACCTGAAAGGCCGCTCAGCAAGGAAGAAGCCACTGCTCCAAAACCGCCATAAAAAGCAGACTACGGTTTGCAACTGCACATGGGGACAAAGATCGTACTTTTTGGAGAAATGTCCTCTGTATGAAAAATGTACACACTCACTAACTGTAAGTCGCTCTGGATAAGAGCGTCTGCTAAATGACTAAAATGAAAAATGTAAATAGAACTGTTTGGCCATAATGACCATCGTTATGTTTGGAGGAAAAAGGGGGTTGCTTGCAAGCCGAAGAACACCATCCCAACCGTGAAGCACGGGGGTGGCAGCATCATGCTGTGGGGGTACTTTGCTGCAGGAGGGACTGGTGCACTTCACAAAATAGATGGCATAATGAGGAAGGAAAATGATGTGGATATATTGAAGCAACATCTTAAGATATCAGTCAGGAAGTTAAAGCTTGGTCGCAAATGGGTCTTCCAAATGGACAATGACCCCAAGCATACTTCCAAAGTTGTGGCAAAATGGCTTAAGGACAACAAAGTCAAGGTATTGGAGTGGCCATAACAAAGCCCTGACCTCAATCCTATAGAAAATCTGTAGGCAGAACTGAAAAAGCGTGTGCGAGCAAGGAGGCCTACAAACCTGACTCAGTTACACCAGCTCTGTCAGGAGGAATGGGCCAAAATTCACCCAACTTATTGTGGGAAGCTTGTGGAACGCTACCCGAAACGTTTGACCCAAGTTAAACAATTGAAAGGCAATGCTACCAAATACTAATTGAGTGTATGTAAACTTCTGACCCACTTGGAATGTGATGAAATAAATAAAAGCTGAAATAAATCATTCTCTCTACTATTATTCTGACATTTCAGATTCTTAAAATAAAGTGGTGATCCTAACTGACCTAAGACAGGGAATTTTTACTAGGATTAAATGTCAGGAATTGTGAAAAACTGAGTTTAAATGTATTTGGCTAAGGTGTATGTAAACTTCCGACTTCAACTGTACATGTGGGTAGAGTTAAAGTGACTATGCATAAATAATAAACAGAGTTGCAGTAGCGTAAAAGAGGGAGTTGGGGTGGGGTGAGGGGGCAATGCAAATATTCTGGGTAGCCATGATTAGCTGTTCAGGAGTCTTATGGCTTGGGGGTAGAAGCTGTTAAGAAGCCTTTTGGACCTAGACTTGGCGCTCCGGTACCACTTGCTGTGTGGTAGCAGAGAGAACAGTTTATGACTAGGGTGGCTGGAGTCTTTGACAATTTTTAGGGCCTTGCTCTGACACCGCCTGGTATAGAGTGGGGGCGTGCTCAGTCCTCTTTTTTTCCTGTAGTCCACAATCATCTCCTTTGTCTTGATCACGTTGAGGGAGAGGTTGTTATCCTGGCACCACACGGCCAGGTCTCTGACCTCCTCTATATATGCTGTCTCATCATTGTCGGTGATCAGGCCTACCACTGTTGTGTCGTTGGCTAACTTAATGATGGTGTTGGAGTTGTGCCTGGCCATGGAGTTATGGGTGAACAGGGAGTACAGGAGGGGGCTGAGCACGCACCCCTGAGGGGCCCCCCCATGTTGAGGATCAGCGTGGCAGATGTGTTGTTACCTACCCTTACCACCTGGGGGCGGCCCGTCAGGAAGTCCAGGATCCAGTTGCAGAGGGAGGTGTTTAGACCCAAGGTCCTTAGCTTAGTGATGAGCTTTGAGGGCACTATGGTGTTTAACGCTGAGCTGTAGTCAATGAATAGCATTCTCACGTAGGTGTTCCTCTTGTCCAGGTGGGAAAGGGCAGTGTGGAGTGCAATAGAGATTGCATCATCTGTGGATCTGTTGGGGCAGTATGCAAACTGGAGTGGGTCTAGGGTTTCTGGGATAATGGTGTTGATGTGAACCATGACCAGCCTTTCAAAGCACTTTATGGCTACAGACGTGAGTGCCACGGGTCGGTAGTCATTTAGGCAGGTTATCTTAGTGTTCTTGGGCACAGGGACTATGGTGGTCTGCTTGAAACATGTTGGTATTACAGTCTCAGTAATAGGGTTAGGATAATTAATGTAGCAGGTTAGGAGACTGTGTATAACGTTAGGAAAAGGGTTATGGTTAGCGAAAATGCTCTCCTAACCTGTGCCCCTTAGCCATAACCTTAACCCTTGCCCTAGCCTTACGTTCAACACTAACCCTAATCTTGATTTAACATACTTTTATCCTACTTTTGTCTTTTGACCCATGAGGTGCAGAAGCTTGACTCCGCCTGGCTCTCCCTTTCACCCAAGGTGCAGAAGCTTGGCTCCGGGCAGCTCTGGCTCAATTTAACCACTGAGCACATCGCGAACAAACCTGATTCAAATAATCAACTAAGCATGATCTTCTACTGAAAGGCTGGGACGAAAGCCTATGCACCCAATAGCTCCTCGGGACTGGAGTCGGAGACCCCTGCCAGGGTCTAAACCTATTTTAGTGCATCTGTCTCAGTCGTACCCGGTCTATCTCAGGATGCTGGAGCAGAAGCTGTACTATCTCTGAGTGGCCCCCTCCAGCAGCAAAGTGCAGCAGGGAGCTCAGCTGGCCATTCAGCAGGTTGGGGTTACAGTTTCCCTTCTCCAGCAGTAGCTTAGTCGCCTCCACTTTACCATACCTATATTCAAAACAACACAGAAGTTTTACTCTTATTTGACGTTAGCTGTTCACAAAAAAAAGCTAATATAAACGTTATTGTCCTTAGAGGACTTTCATTTTCTTTAGGGAATTTGGGTAACATTTTTCCTTTATTTTACAGCTTGGTTTACAATCTAGGATGAGTTTTTGGTGTACAGCTGTGCTAGAACAAAACACCCCTCATATGAGACATACCAGCAGGCGTAGTGGATGGGGGCCCAGTGGTCGCTGTCCAGCTGTTTGACTGAGAAGCCACTTTCCAGGAGCTTGGTGAGCAGCTCTGTGTCGCCTTCACAGGCACTGCGGTGGAGGGGGAAGTCATCCACCCACTGGCGCTCCCTATAGAGGAGACGGAGAATTGGCCTCGTTCAATCACTTGGACTTCATAATGTCATGAGGCATTTGAAAAGGCCCAAACTCCAAGGAATGGAAGATACTTTAGATGCGCTTGATTGAGGTTGCCTGGCGCAATGGAACTGATGGAATAGTCCCAAATGTGCAAATGTCGCCCATTTGGCACTCCAGAAAGGCTCAAACTATTTGAAGGAAAACAAATACTATTTGAATCCAGGTCTGGCCAATGCATGAAGTAACATTTTGAAGTAAAATTTAGGGAGGCTCACTCACTTTTCCTCTGTCACATTGTTAGAGCCGTGCTGCCACTTTTCTCTCGTAGGGATCTGGATTTTAGAGTAATCTGGAGCACCAAGGCCAAAGTAAGGGTTGATAATAACTTTGTCCACCTAGAAATGGCAAAAATAGAGAGGATACGTAAACACTTTAGTTTATGTTCACATATTTTGATGATGATACAAAAATGTCAACTGTCTTGTAAGCCATCCCTCGGGAGAGGGTAGGGATTGGAAAAAATGGTATCTGGGCTCTCACCCGGTTGGTATACTGCAGGTCTGAGCCGTAGAGAGGGTTTTGAATGCACATGTCGGCCTTATCCAGTGACAGCATCTTGCTCTTGATCTCCAAGGCGGTGTAACCCATGTGCAAACCCCCATCACTAGGTTTGCCCTCGCTGGTGTAAGCAGGGTTACTCACGTTGGTCTTGACTCGGTCCACCGGTGCGGGCCGGAACAGAGCTGCAATGGCATGAGGCATGGTGTGCTTCTCTGCCAGCCACCTGGATAGGGCAGTTACAAGATACTAGTTCAAAGGTCAAGGTTTAGTGGTGACGTTCTGGTAAGGTGAAATATCTACTGTGTCACTCACTGCACTGTAAGTCGTTTGAAATATCTTATGTTATTTCCAATCCCAACCCCCGGACACCACACATACAGACAGTCACGAGAGGCTGGAAGCAGCACAACAACAGTCTCAAAGGCACAACAGTAGTGGATAGTAGTAATGATCTGAAACCAGCAGCCCTCCAATAACCAGTCTAGTTCCCCACCTTTTTCATCGTCCGGCCCGGGAATTAAACCAACTACCTTCCTGTTACCGGTCCACCTCTCTAACCTCTGGGCTACCTACCACCCCCGTAGAGTAAGTGAAGCTACCATATACCCTGCTTTTAAGCTCTCTGATACACATAAAAAACTGTGGATCAGGGCGCCTGCTAAATGACTTCAATATGAAATCATAGACAAAGACTTACTTGTCCAAGGCCAGGAGCATCTTTGAGGTGATTGGGGAGAAATGAGCACTGGTCTCACTACACACACGCATGATATCCTGGAGGCAGAAAAAACTTGGGCTCCCAGGGTTGTAGATAGGCTTGCTATTATCTGTTCAGAAACACCAATAAGAAGCACACAATAATAAAAAAAAACATTGTTAGCTAAACTATATTATTAAGGAATTATTCTAAGGAATGCTTTAAAAAGTACCCCAGACACAAGTGGACTAACACTTACAGTGGGGTCAGGAATTATTGTATCCCTTGATAAAGACTAGCAAAAAAGACTATAAAATAAATACCGGTAACACAAATACTGAGCTATATTGTATGCTCAACAAAATAGAACATTATATGATTTTAAACTAATACAATTGCGCAGATAAAAAAAAGTTGTCTAACAAGAAATAAAACAAATCTAAGAAAGATAGGATTATTGGATCCCCTGTTTTGATTTGAATTGAAGAGGGCATTCCATAAGCGCAGACAAAGGATATCAAGGATCTAGAAAGATTCTGTATGGAGGAATGGCCTACGATCCCTCACAATGTGTTCTCCAATCTCATAAAACATTTTAGAAAAAGGCTCAGTATCATTATCCGCGCAAGGGGAGAGTGCTGGAGTATTGAAAACAAGGGATACAATCATTTTGACCACTATCTTTTAAAATATAGATATTTCTTGTTAAACAAAATCTTTCCTCTGAGCAATTGTATTATTATACAAGTCATAATAAATAAATAAAAAAGTATTCACACCCCTTTACTTTTTCCACATTTTGTTGTGTTACAGCCTGAATTTAAAATAGATTAAATTGAGTTTTTTGGTCACTGGCCTACACACAATACCCCATAATGTCAAAGTGGAATTATATTTTTCAATTTTTTTACAAATTAATTACAAATGAAAAGCTGAAATATCTTGAATGAATGAGTATTCAAACCCTACTAACCTAATTGACAGAGTGAAAAGAAGGAAGCCTGTACAGAATAAAAATATTCCAAAAGATCTATGCTGTTTGCAACAAGGCACTAAAGTAATGAATGTTTTGTCCTGAATACAAAGCGTTATGTTTGGGGCAAATACAATACAACACATTACAAAGTACCACTCTCCATATTTTCAAGCATAGTGGTGGCTGCATCATGTTATGGGTATGCTTGTAATCATTAAGGACTGGGGAGTTTTTCAGGATAAAAAAATAAACGGAATGGAGCTAAGCACAGGCAAAATCCTAGAGGAAAACCTGGTTCAGTCTGCTTTCCACCAGACACTGGGAGATGTATTCACCTTTCAGCAGGACAATAACTTAAAACACAAGGACAAATATACACTGCAGTTGCTTAACAAGAAGACAGTGAATGTTCCTGAGTGGCTGAGTTACAATTTGAACTTAAATCTACTTGAAAATCTATGGCAAGACCTGAAAATGGTTGTCTAGCAATGATCAACAACCAATTCGACAGAGCTTGAAGAATTTTGAAAAGAATAATGGGCAAACATTGCACAATCCAGGTGTGGAAAGCTCTTAGTGATTTACACAGAAAGACTCACAGCTATAATCCCTGGCAAAGGTGCTTCTACAAAGTATTGACTCGAGGTGTGAATACTTATGTAAAAGAGATATTTCTGTGTTTCATTTTCAATAAATTTGCACAAAAATCTAAAAACATGTTTTCACTGTCATTATGAAGTATTGTGTGTAGATCGGTGAGAAAAAATTATCCATATAATCCATTTTGAATTGAAGCTGTAACATAACAAAATGTGGAATAAATCAAGGGGTATGAATACTTTCTGAAGGCACTATTCTATAGCTCAGTATTTGCATTACTTATTTTATACAGTCTTTTTTGCTTATCTTTATTAAGGGATCCAATAATTCCGGACCCCACTGTATATAATTCATGTGCATTTATAACATTTCTAATAATTTAGTTAGTGTCAAGTTCTACCTTTGACATTGATTGGCACAAAAAAGAGGGAGACCTCTTTCCCTTCATTGTCACCATCGAGAGGGAATTTCTTCATGTGCACCACACGCTTTCCTGTGATGAACAACAGCATAAGAGGGATTAGTGCTTTGACACAATTTGTTATTTGAAATGTCTTTCTACTCTTCATACAACATTTATATTAACAAACGATTCAAGTCCAAATCTGGAAAGCCACCATAATTACAGAAAAGCAACAAAGACCTATTTATTTACCAATAAAACCCTTGTTGTTAGATATGGGTTTAGTAATTTCTTCTACATAATCCAAAATGGATCTGGCTGTGTCCCCATTGGCTTGGATTTTGGTCGCCAGTAAGACTTTCTTCCGTTTCTTCTCTTTTCCTTCCAAAGGAACTTCAATCAACAGGATCTAAAGGAGGGGTAATCACAGGGTTACACATGATGTCACTGGTGAAGATAAACTGAACTAGAAATACATTTATGAAATCAAACCATAAGCTAAATAATTGTGATTTGCCATAAACAATATTTGCGTTAAAGTAAAATGATATTGCAGCAGATTTGGGGTGGATGATATGGTAATATGGCAAACACTAGAACTTCCAGGGAGCTTTCCAGAACTGAGCATCCTTACACTAAATGTATTAATAAAGGCGTTGCCACTTTGCAGTAACCATAGTCTGCTACTCGCAGGGTTACTTAAGCATGTATACAAAATAATGTGTATCCCACTTCTGACACCAGTGTAACAAATCCAGGGGGTAGCCCAGACCGGGACTCAAACACAGCACCCTGAGACTGTCAGTCCAACCTCCTTGCTGTTATGCAAAGAGATCCTAACCTTCAGATGCTAGGTTTTGCATGGTCGCTAATCGCTACTGTATCTTATGAAAGATACTGTAGTCTTACCTCATAGGCTTTAGCCCGATATTCCTTAGAGCTCAGACTGACATGGTTCTTTGGACGAACGACAGCAACAAACACATCTTCCAAGTTGTCATGGTTGCCCATGGCGTTGACTTGCCTTCAATCCCTTTCAAGTATCCTACATAAGGACCGATTTATGAGGAAGATGAGGAGCACCATGTCTGAAATGTTAGAAATAATCAAATACAATCAGAATCTAATTGGGAGCCAGCAAAACGTAATTATTCTATTAATAATCTATATTCTATTGTAGGGTGTCTTTTAATTATTTAAAAGTAGTAGGCTATTACACTATTCAAGATTGATCATCACTGATCAATCTTGAAAAGATAAGACTTTTAAATTGTTAACTTGTAATAAATTACTTAATAATATCAACAATCGCCTAGATTGTTACTTTAACGCATGAAAATGAAATAGCATAATGATTACGGCGAAAATATTTTCAAAAGGCAAATTTGATTGCGTTTAAAAGTCTAAAATAAATGATTCTGTCCCAACAAAAGTCACGCCCCGGAAACCAAGCACACTGTTGCCTTCCTCTGTAGAAGACTATTGATATCATCACATACAGTATACAATACAACATGAAAAGTAATAAACGGCACGATTTTTCAGTAAAGCTATATTGTGTCCTTAGAAGTAGACGTGAAACTATACGTCAGATAACTTGATGAAAGGCTCCGGAATCGCACTGTTACATTTTAATAAACGCTTTCAAACATACCTGAAATTATGATCTCTCACAAACTTTAAAAAGTATAGGTTGTCGGTGTCTTTATTTTCCCGGGTGGAATAAGTCATAGACATGCAGGATCAATAATCTAGGCAAATTTCTAAGCAGATAATTGTGTGTTTCCTAAAAGCATAACATCGGTTGGCGACAACAGCAAGCGAAATGGACAAGAGTCATATTATGCCTAGACTGATTCGTTTTGACAACAGGGAACTCTGCTGGTCGGGTGGACTTAGTGCGCATATTTTCTTGTGAAAAATGTAGACAGATGGAAATAAATTATAGGCTACAGAAATCAAATCGGATGTGAAAGTAATTTGCTTTGGTATGATGTAAGGCCAAGTAACTTTTGACTCATAATTTTTTTCTGAAATCATTTTTATTGCATTCAGGCAATTCTAGTGTCAATTGTGAGTATGGACATGTTTCCTAATATTTATATATTAAATAGTTAAGGTACACATTTGCCCGTTTCAGATTATGTATGGCAGAGGTTCCCAACCATTTTCCACATTTGATTCAAACACCAGCTTGATTTTGTTTAATTTGAGGGACCTAGGAAAATGTTGTTTTGAAGCTAATTTCTTGGAATTCTACGCAGTTTAAACAACACTCATGATATGCTTTAGGTAGGCTATTTAATGTTAATTATAATAATAATAATAATAATAATAATTCCCCAAATGTTAGGGTACTAGGGGGTAACTAGAACAATGTTTAATTGCTGACACAAAAAAACAACGTTTGGAAAAATAAATGGATGTGGATGAAGGTCATGCTTACAGTGGCTTGAGGAAGTATTCACCCCCCTTGGCATTTTTCCTATTTTGTTGCCTTACAACCTGGAATTAAAATGGATTTTTTTTGGGGGGGGGGGGGGGGGGGGTTGTATCATTTGATTTACACAACATGCCTACCACTTTGAAGATGCAAAATATATTTTTTGGTGAAACACCCCCACCTTTTGCAGCAATTACAGCTGCAAGTCTTTTGGGGTATGTCTCTATAAGCCTGGCACATCTAGCCACTGGGATTTTTGCCCATTCTTCAAGGCAAAACTGCTCCAGCTCCTTTAAGTTGGATGGGATCTGCTGGTGTACAGCAATCTTTAAGTTATACCACAGATTCTCAATTGGATTGAGGTCTGGGCTTTGACTAGGCCATTCCAAGACATTTAAATGTTTCCCCTTAAACCACTCAAGTGTTGCTTTAGCAGTATGCTTAGGGTAATTGTCCTGCTGGAAGGTGAACCTCCGTCCCAGTCTCAAATCTCTGGAAGACTGAAACAGGTTTCCCTCACACCTCCTGAGTGGCGCAGTGTTCTAAGGCACTGCATCGCAGTGCTAGCTGTGCCACTAGAGATCCTGGTTCGAATCCAGGCTCTGTCGTAGCCGGCCGCGACCGGGAGACCCATGGGGCGGCGCACAATTGGCCCAGCGTCGTCCAGGGTAGGGGAGGGAATGGCCGGCAGGGGATGTAGCTCAGTTGGTAGAGCATGCTGTTTGCAACGCCAGGGTTGTGGGTTCGATAAAATAATGTATGCGCTAACTGTAAGTCGCTCTGGATAAGAGCGTCTGCTAAATGACTAAAATGTAAATGTAAGAATTTCCCTGTATTTAGCGCCATCCATCATTCCTTCAATTCTAACCAGTTTCCCAGTCCCTGCCAATGAAAAACATCCCCACACATCCACCATGCTTCACTGTGAGGATGGTGTTCTTGGGGTGATGAGAGGTGTTGGGTTTGCGCCAGACATAGCGTTTTCCTTGATGGCCAAAAAGCTCAATTTTAGTCTCATCTGACCAGAGTACCTTCTTCCATATGTTTGGGGAGTCTCCCACATGGCTTTTGGCGAACACCAAACGTGTTTGCTTATTTTTTTCTTTAAGCAATGGCTTTTTTCTGGCCACTCTTCCATAAAGCCCAGCTCTGTGCAGTGTACGGCTTAAAGTGGTCCTATGGACAGATACTACAATCTCCGCTGTGGAGCTTTGCAGCTCCTTCAGGGTTATCTTTGGTGTCTTTGTTGCCTCTCTGATTAATGCCCTCCTTGCCTGGTCTGTGAGTTTTGGTGGGCGGCCCCCTCTTGGCAGGTTTGTTGTGGTGCCATATTCTCTCAATTTTTTAATAATGGATTTAATGGTGCTCCATGGGATGTTCAAAGTTTCATATATTTTTTTATAACCCAACCCTGATCTGTACTTCTCCACAACTTTGTCCCTGACCTGTTTGGAGAGCTCCTTGGTCTTCATGGTGCCGCTTGCTTGGTGGTGCCCCTTGCTTAGTGGTGTTGCAGACTCTGGGGCCTTTCAGAACAGGTGTATATATACTGAGATCATGTGACAGATCATGTGACACTTAGATTGTACACAGGTGGACTTTATTTAACTAATTGTGTGACTTCTGAAGGTAATTGGTTGCACCAGATCTTATTTAGGGGCTTCATAGCAAAGGGTGTGAATACATATGCACGCATCACTTTTCCGTTATTTATTTTTAGAATTTTTTGAAACAAGTTATTTTTTGCATTTGGCTTCACCAATTTGGACTATTTTGTGTATGTCCATTACATGAAATCCAAATAAAAATCCATTTAAATTACAGGTTGTAATGCAACAAAATAGGAAAAACGCCAAGGGGGATGAATACTTTTGCAAGGCACTGTAGGTGAATAAACTATAAAGGGAAATAAATGGCTACAGTTTACACTTTTTTAGGTATTTCATGAAATGTTGTTTTTAGAAAAGGGGGTGCCAGTTACCCCGGTAGAAGATTATACATTTACATTTACATTTTAGTCATTTAGCAGACGCTCTTATCCAGAGCGACTTACAGTTAGCGCATACATTATTTTATCGAACCCACAACCCTGGCGTTGCAAACACCATGCTCTACCAACTGAACTACATCCCCTGGCATAGGGTTTGACACAAGTGTGTTAAAATCCATTTAATCATTTTTATTTAGAAATTATTTAGTAAGTAATACTTAAAAGCTAAGTTTAGTTGTCTTATTTTAATTATTTAAATAAAATATGGGGGGGGGGGGATGGTGTTGCACATGTCATCATTAATATTATTAATTATTATTATTATTATTAATTTAATTAATTAATATGCCATTTAGCAGACGCTTTTATCCAAAGCGACTTACAGTCATGCGTGCATAAATTTTTTGTGTATGGGTGGTGTATGGGTGGTCCCGGGGATCGAACCCACTACCTTGGCGTTACAAGCGCCGTGCTCTACCAGCTGAGGAGGATTAACTCACCTGCACATACATTTTCTTTGTTCTTTCTTTGTTGTTCCTTTTCCATACAATCCATTATGTACAATTGCACTAAATATTATTTGAATAATGCAAGATTTTAAATCCCAGCAGTCTTTAAAATGACATTCAGGAGCAAAAGGTTTTCAATAGTTTTTAATTCACAAAAAAAATATTCATTGGATATTGGAATGGAATATAACTAATAACATTAAATAACATTGGAATTTAACATTTAATAACAATAACTCATAACTTAACTCATTAATTCAGTGTAACGTTGATGTTTCAACTCTTTTATGCTCTGCTATTGCTAATTTGTACATAGGTCACAAATAAAGCTATCCCCAGTAAAATTGGAGCACAACTCATGAGCCTACCTCCTGCACTGCTCACACCTAATCCAGTACCCACCTGTGACTGAATACTTTACTCAAAAATGATGTATATTTTTTTTCTCTAAACAAGTGGATTATTTATCTTAAGGCTTTCCTACTTGTAGATTAAAAAATATATATATAGATCTAACTTCATTGGAATATATCTACAACTTTTTCAACATTTCCAAAAATGTAATCAATTTACCACTAAATCGTTTTGCTTAAACGTTGTGATGACACAGAGGACATTTTTTGTTGAGCAAGAGCAGTTGCTGCCAGGGAAAGTGTTGGGGAAATAATTTGGTGACATCCTGTGGCCTTAATGTGAATTACATATATGAGTTACTATAATAATTTATATGAACCCTCAATTTAATGATACATATTATATTTTACCTAAAGTAATTCGATCAATTGATAGTCACACACTAACCACATTTCCATCCACAGTTTTTATGCGAGTAAAGTCATATTGTATATAAAAAATTCACGACAACTGTGATGGAAACAGGAAGTTTCGGTGTAATGTTAAAATGCCGACAGATCATTTGTTCGTTCGTTCGACAAGGTGGGATCTTTTTGTGTCGGTAAAATGTATTATGCGGGAAATGGCGGTGGAAACGCCTTTATACGCAAATATTGATATAATAACCATCATATCGAAGTAAATTTAGTCACGCGATGATATGGTGTGTGGTTCTCCCACTACGACTCGGGAAACCATTAAGTTTATTTGGCTACAGTTTAAATAAATTATGATGAACTTCACAGGGTGGTGAAAGTGCACAGTGACGACCTTGAAGCTGCTTTCCAATACCCTACCGAGGGTCTTATTCTGTAGACATGATGATCGATGCTTGGCTGGCGTTTGACAAATAAAATATTCTCGCTCTAATAATCTCATTATGTAGACTAGACAACCCGCACAGCATCTGCGAACTGTTGGCTAGAGCGCAGATGCTTAAACCAGAGTAGGCACATTTACTATTTAACGCAACAGTTTTTGTGACAAAACTATCTTTAGAGTTGAAAATGCGATGGAAACACATCGAATTTTAGATTTTTTTTCGGTACATGAAAATGTAAGCGAAAAAGTCCATTTTGTGTGCACTACGTCATCACGCACTGATTTTTATTTGCAACAACTACATTTGATGGAAACATACCGCTGGTGGGAAAATGCGCATATTTTCTTTATGCGTTTTCTAGAATATTCGCATGAAAATCTGTCGCCAATTGGATGGAAACCTAGCTTGTGTGTAAGATTACTTAACAACCAACGTCCGATTTATTTGACTCCTCGACTTTAGAAGGTCGTAGTTCAGCTTCTGAATGTCATAGAGACAAACCAAATATATTCTCATGCGCATCAGTCCAGTGGCGGCTGGTGAAAAATATTCTCGGTGGGGCTGTGCCATACTTTTTTTTTCCTGTAACCATCGCGATATATTTTAACACAAACTGCAGGAAAGCAGTGCTCAGTGAAACATTCAGTAATTATTTAATGCCAATATTAAAAAGTTGAGGCATTCTTACACAAAAACATATTACACAAACCCAAGCCTTTCATTTGCATTTAAAGTGAACTTTTCACCATTGGTAGTAAACAGGCAACGCAACAGGCATGCTGTCAGAACAGAGTGGAAAGTGGACAATAACATGAAATTATTATAAAGTTTATAGGAAATCTTACACTGTATAAAAGGATGTATAATATAGAAATGGATATCAAGTGGTTGAACTCAAACCTTTGACTGGAAGAATAGCATACAGTATTTTATGATCATACTAAATGTGACTAATTGTTAATGTGCTCCAGAACTGCAACAATTAATTGATACAAAACAACATATATACAGTAATATTAGCAAAGACACTATTAAGACTTTCTAGAGTACCATATATAACTGGATTCTTTATGCTAAGGTCAACTATATACAAAGAAACATGCGGCCAGAGCTGCTCTGTGTGTGTGTGTCTGTCATCTTATTTGTACAGGAATTTTATATATATATATATAGACAGACAGACAGACAGACAGATAGTGTGTATATACACACAAACTATGTCTAGTAACTGCTTTTAACCTGTGATGTACATAATTAACTGATGTTATTACGTTTTAATGCAACATAATTTTGGTCTGCTGTGTACTTAAAAATAATGTTAATCTTCAATAACAACTAGGCCTCTTCTAGAAATTGACCTGGTGGACACCTGAATAATTATTACAAACTGTGTAGTACTTTCCTGCATTATTATCAACGTCTGATTGTGTCTTCTCTTTCCTTTTAAAATACTAAAACAAATATAATTGTGACGGCTCTATGATAATCACTCACTTTGATGACCAGACACATTTAGGCTTTTAAACTGTTGTAAGTGAACTATTCATCTTTCTAACAACATCTTTATCAGCCAATAGTAAATATAGTTATTTACCTGATTGTTAGCATGCTGTCTGTGAACCTCTGGACAAGTGCTTTAATGAAGACAGGGTCGATGTTCCTCTTCTGCAGCTGGCTGAAAAGCATGTCCACATTTGGCATGATCTTGTGGAACAGTGCCAGGAAAAAACAGAAAGCCTCGTCTTCGAGCATCCTCACAAAGCCCCCCGCCTCTCTGACAGTCGGGGCATCAAAGTTCCCAGAGTCTCTGATGGTCTGGAAACACGTTAGTGGGTGGAAACGTCATTCGTCTCGTCAGCTTGAATGGCGATAAAATCAGCACTCTTTACTTCCTCCAGGATGTAATCCTTAAGCACTGACAGCATACATTCCAACAGCTCGTTCTGTATCGTCTTTGACGTGCCCTTAAAAACGGTAGCTGTCTTCAGGTGCTCCTCCAGCACACTGTCGAGGGAGGCAACAAAATCCACTAAGCCCCGGAAAATGCCGGGGTTGTCCGAGGAGTCAGTCTCCTCGTGCCCACGCAAGGCCAACTCAAAAGCCCCACAGAACTTCACACAATCGATAATTTTGGATAGAATGTGCCTGTTTTTATCCACCTCCTCATTGTGTTTCCTCACCGCAATCCTGTGGCCGTCATCCAGCTGCGTAGCAATGTTCACCCTTCCTAATACAGCTAGCTTTACAGAGTTGTCCATGTGTGCCCTGGTGTTCTCATGTTTCTTTACCTTCTCTGACAGGTGCTTCATATCCCTCACTCCGGTACCTGTCCATGCTGAATCTGACCCCGTCCGGCCCGTCGTTTTAAAAAGCAAGCACGGAAAGCAAAATAAAGCATTAGCATCAGTGCACCCAGCTAGCCAAGCCTTCCTGGTGTACCAGCTACGGGAGAAGCCGCGCATATACTGCTTCCCTTTCTCGCTAGCCTGCTGTCTGATTGAGAGGTCAGGTTGATCTGGGCCCAGCTCTTTCACCCGAACTTTCTCTGACAAAGTTCTCCTCTCAAACGGATCTTGGAGGAGAGATTTCACCGAGTTAGGGTTGGGTCTTGGAGGAGTAACGTTTGCGCTCACCATTGTCGTCTAGTAAAAATGGCGCCACTGGAGCCCGGTCCTTATTTTATCAGGGGCGAGCTTGGGGCGATAAAATAATCGCCCTCCTTGGATTCGAATTAAAATCGCTGATTAGCTACATTTTATGTCATACATTCATATCTTAAATTAGCAATTGGCTTAACTGCTACGTAGACCCGCCTCCTCGGGGCACTTTCTGTATCGCCCAGAGCTGACGAGGCGTTTGACAGGCAGAGGAAAGGTTGCGAATATGATTTTCTATCATATCTTACACATTTTACTGTGTGCATTCCATATTTCAAACACACAAATATTGACATACTGATGTTTTTATTATTATTATTATTATTTTTATTTATTTTTTATTTTATTTTTTTAAATAATTTTATTTAAGGGGGCGGCGCCCTAGCGCCCTCTATCGGCCAGCCGCCACTGCATCAGTCGCATCTTCATCTGGCAAATTACTGCTTATTTCTAGCCTAAAGCATCGAGGATGTTTGCGTTTTTTTGGATCGGTATTAACAATCGCAAACTGTAGCCCTCAAATCAAGGAAGGTTGGGAACTGCCGATGTATGGTGACATAGGCCACATAGCAAACTTTCCCATGTATGGCTATTCTCTACTGTAGACCAATATAACCTTCTTTTTTTTTTTTAGCTCTTTAGGTCTATCCATTTTAGTAATGCTTCAAGTCAGGTCAAGAAAACTAATAGGGGAAGTGCTCTATAATTATGTAAGAGTCAGTCAAATGAGTCTTGTACATACTGTAATATGGGTCATAATTTAGACTTCTTTATTGAAGACAATGTATAAAACATTAACAGACAGTCAGAGCATGTATTGGCAGGTAGCCTAATATAAGGCAGCGGTATGAACACAAGTTCAAACTAGGAACTATTGCCACAACAACAGAAAGTTCAGTTAACCCAAATAAACATGCAGCTTATGTGCACAAACAGCAAAACATAATTTGGATTGCTTTGACTGTGAATTTGGTTTCCCATCTACTCATAATACACATTATATATGATTTCCTTGGTCCACTTGAATTAGTCTGGTTCCTGAGAAAGTGGGAACCTCTTCTCTACAGTTTTAACCACCAAACCACAAAACTCCACTTCTAACCCACCCAAACTCCCTTCAATAGCTGGCATTGTCGAGAATCAACCCCTAGCCCCTACCCCTTGGCACTTGTGTTGATCGGAATAAATTGGACAGGTATAAGCAAAATATTTTGCAAAAATTCCACCTTGCCTCTCAGAGGGCACAGTGGAGCTACAGCCATATTGTGTGTACCTATCCAGTTCTAACAAGGGGTGGGGGGGGGGGGTGTAGAGCATGGGTGGCCATCCCTCCTCCTGGAGAGCAACTGGGTCTGCATGCTTTTATTCCATCCCTGCTCTAACATATCTGGTTTAGCTAATTAGGCTCAAGATGAGCAGCTGATTGGTAGAATCAGATGTATTAGAGCAGGGCATGAACACCCAGGACATACTGCACACCCAGTAGCACTTCAGGACTGGGAGTAGGGGTTATTTCTGGACAAGGCCCCCACCTCTCCCCTTCCCCAAGCTTTAGGGCGGACTCCTCTCTTCCTCCTCTTTGCACTGGCTCAAAACCTCCTGCATCTTGGCTTGGATGTCCTCCACGCGCTTGGCCCACTTCTCCCGCACCTCGTCCTCGTCGTCCTCCGTCACCGCTGTGTAGGCCATGAGAGCGATCAGGCCAATGTGGAACAGGTGGCCCAGGTGGGAGCACCGGTGCTCCATGACCCTGCGGTCTCCGTCGCAGTGCTCCAGGTACACCTTCAGCAGGGGCCTTCCAAACACCGACCCGGTGCCCATGACGCCCCGGTAGTACACGTCCAGGCTCAGGTTGCTCTTGTCCCTCTCGTAGGCCCGCTTGAAGTTGGCCATGTGGCGCCGCGCTTCCTCTGGGTCCTTCCTCACCTGCGCCACCATGGAGCTGAAGGCGGCATATTGGTGCTTGATGTACTCCTCATACTTGCCAAACGTCTCATTGACCTCGTCCACACGGATCTGCCGCAGGCACTGATGGTTTTTCACTGAGATGCTCTGCAACTTGCTGTGCACCACCTGGAAGTCCTTGTCCAGGGCGTGCGCCTCCTCGCCCACCAGGCCCGTGCGCACCACCCCCACCAGGGAGGAGACGATGCCGAAGAGGGGGTCGATGGACGAGGCGAAGGAGGAGACCTTCTCCACGCAGCCCAACACCTTGACCGCTGTCTTCTTGATCTGCCCGGCCTCAGCCATCGCTGTTAGCTTCTAAGACTCTGACACAGAGAGAGAGAGAGAGAACAGTGTCAGGCTGTTGTGTGAGGGTAGTCAATGAACTGAACAGTTTCTGTTTCAGTTTCTCTTGTAGATGGGGGAGATCTACCATCATGTTTCAGAATAATTCAAATCGTATTACTTTTAATGCTGCTGGCAAAATTGGGCATCTTAGTTCTCAAGTTGCATTCCACACATGCATGTCATCACTTTGCGTCTTTTAGCTTTATGTATCAAGTTACAGTTTTAATACTCCTGAGTGACACCTCTCACGAAGCCTCTAGTTGTGTAGTAAGCAACAAGTCAATCATTACTTAGGTTTAGAAGCCAAGATGAACTGTTATTTCTTATTTGAGAGAAAAAGAGAGGCAATGTATTTCTAAGAGAAGCATTTCTTTCATTATCAATTTTTTCTTTTCATTTTCATATTTATGGCTATTAGCGATCAGTTGGAATCAAGTACAGAGTTTCATTCATTTATAGGGCATAGAGAATGCTTCTAAATTCAAACCTCACAGAGACATACATTTGGGTCACATGTGAAAGGGAGTGTCTGTTGTCCTGTGTGTATACACTAACTGATTTGTGTGGCTGTGGCCAAACACACAAACCATATATAATCCTAGTTCATAGCTCTTACTCATCATGCCCAAGCCTGCAATGCAGTAAAAAAATCAGGAAGACCAGTGGGTGTGTCTCCTGGGTACGTTAAATACAATCATTGACCTCCTATTACACCAGCAAGTTTTTCTAAAGATAAACAAAATAATGAAGGCACATGCCAATCTACATCAATTCAGAGATCCATTTTCCATTAGTAAATCACATTCATTTTGGTCTAACTGCATTCACTTCCTGCTTCTCCAACCACAAACATGTATCATGAACCACTGATTTCCCCTTAAATATGAAGTGTTCCTTTTCAGATAAAACCCCCAAAGATAATACAAAGCCCTTTGAGCTAAATGTCTTATGTTTACCTGAGGTCAAGGTGTTGTTATCCTTCTGTTTATACAAGCTGTCAGTATTACCAAGCCACCATTTTCCAAGAATCCCCCAGTCTGAGAAGCCCAGCCTACTTTCTGCCATATAAGGACAGAGGAACAAGGAAACGTGACTCTTGTTTGGGCTGTGCTGATTGGATGGAGGGAAAATACAGCTGGCTGCTTTGTGGCTGTAAACCAAGCAGAGGGCAGGCAGGGTGTGTATTGTTTTAGGCATATCAAACACATCCACACCTTCAGTAGCAATAGTTTTTAATAGTGTTGTGAATGTAGGGATAAGGGTAGAGGGAATCCATCAGAATATAATAGATCTATGTTTATCAATTTGCATGGCAATTCTTTATTTTCTGCTGTCATAGTACTAAACACACACACACACACACACACACACAGAGTGAGACAGAGACAGAGAGAGAGAGAGAGAGAGAGAGAGAGAGAGAGAGAGAGCAGCCCCCCGAAGGAGTTTTGTGGGGTTAGGTGCCTTACTCATGGGCACAATGGCAGTAGGTAGCACATGGGATATTAATGACAGCAACCCTCCGGCTGCCGCCACGCTCTCAGTATCCTGCCATATATTAGGATAAGAGAGAAGATCCTGTAGGTCCTAAAATGATCAGCCCTATGAGATCGCAGGTTAGGAATACAATGTAAGCCTGTATTACTCACTTTACATGAAATGTATCTTATACCTGTGTAACACTGATATTATACTAGTAACAACATCGTATTGATATGTTACATTGTACTTCAGTCATTTAATTTTAATTGTACAGAAATGAAATTAAGCAGTTTTGCACACAAACAGGGAGTCATTAAATGCGTTTATTACAAAAACTGCTCAACCATTAGTATGCAATTACAAAGCAATCACTAAGTTACCATGCAACACTGTAGTAATTACACTGTTCCTATATAGGTATAAGGAAAGGTGCATTTCACCACTTTTTAACCTCATATTCATTATCTCTAGCATCATACCAGTGTCTACATACAGTGGGGAAAAAAAGTATTTAGTCAGCCACCAATTGTGCAAGTTCTCACACTTAAAAAGATGAGAGAGTCCTGTAATTTTCATTATAGGTACACGTCAACTATGACAGACATATTGAAGAAAAAAAATCCAGAAAATCACATTGTAGGATTTTTAATGAATTTATTTGCAAATTATGGTGGAAAATAAGTATTTGGTCACCTACAAACAAGCAAGATTTCTGGCTCTCACAGACCTGTAACTTCTTCTTTAAGAGGCTCCTCTGTCCTCCACTCGTTACCTGTATTAATGGCACCTGTTTGAACTTGTTATCAGTATAAAAGACACCTGTCCACAACCTCAAACAGTCACACTCCAAACTCCACTATGGCCAAGACCAAAGAGCTGTCAAAGGACACCAGAAACAAAATTGTAGACCTGCACCAGGCTGGGAAGACTGAATCTGCAATAGGTAAGCAGCTTGGTTTGAAGAAATCAACTGTGGGAGCAATTATTAGGAAATGGAAGACATACAAGACCACTGATAATCTCCCTCGATCTGGGGCTACACGCAAGATCTCACCCCGTGGGGTCAAAACGATCACAAGAATGGTGAGCAAAAGTCCCAGAACCACACGGGGGGACCTAGTGAATGACCTGCAGAGAGCTGGGACCAAAGTAACAAAGCCTACCATCAGTAACACACTACGCCGCCAGGGACTCAAATCCTGCAGTGCTAGACGTGTCCCCCTGCTTAAACCAGTACATGTCCAGGCCCGTCTGAAGTTTGTTAGAGTGCATTTGGATGATCCAGAAGAGGATTGGGAGAATATCATATGATCAGATGAAACCTAAATATAACTTTTTGGTAAAAACTCAACTCGTCGTGTTTGGAGGACAAAGAATGCTGAGTTGCATCCAAAGAACACCATACCTACTGTGAAGCATGGGGGTGGAAATATCATGCTTTGGGTCTGTTTTTCTGCAAAGGGACCAGGACGACTGATCCGTGTAAAGGAAAGAATGAATGGGGCCATGTATCGTGAGATTTTGAGTGAAAACCTCCTTCCATCAGCAAGGGCATTGAAGATGAAATGTGGCTGGGTCTTTCAGCATGACAATGATCCCAAACACACCGCCCGGGCAACGAAGGAGTGGCTTCGTAAGATGCATTTCAAGGTCCTGGAGTGGCCTAGCCAGTCTCCAGATCTCAACCCCATAGAAAATCTTTGGAGGGAGTTGAAAGTCCATGTTGCCCAGCGACAGCCCCAAAACATCACTGCTCTAGAGGAGATCTGCATGGAAGAATGGGCCAAAATACCAGCAACAGTGGGTGAAAACCTTGTGAAGACTTACAGAAAACGTTTGACCTGTGTCATTGCCAACAAAGGGTATATAACAAATTATTGAGAAACTTTTGTTATTGACCAAATACTTATTTTCCACCATAATTTGCAAATAAATTCATTAAAAATCCTACAATGTGATTTTCTGGATTTTTTTTCCTCATTTTGTCTGTCATAGTTGACGTGTACCTATGATGAAAATTACAGGCCTCTCTCATCTTTTTAAGTGGGAGAACTTGCACAATTGGTGGCTGACTAAATACTTTTTTTCCCCACTGTATGTCCTCTAGTCAAAAAGATAAAAAGTGTTACAGTTGAAAACATATAGCCTTATTCATAAAGGCTCATCAATGCTTATAACAACATACCTGTCTGCTTGCCCCCTTTTCTAATTTTCTCATCTCATCTATATTGATATATATTCATTGTCCAATGACAGCAAACAATGGCTCCATTATTTTCGTCTTCAATGATTTAATGATTTAAGAGTTCTATTGACGGTAACATTTCCATTGTGATGTGAAAAGACAATTTGGTAACACTTTACTTGACACCCAGCGTCATAACACGTTACGACACGGTCATAACCATGTCATAATATGTCATAACAGCTGAAATAACTTGTCATAATCTTCTGTGACATATATTGTGTTATTTTATGGCTGGTTATAAGAGTGTCAAAACCCATAAAACCTACCACAGTAGTTATTTTATGGCTGGTTATGACACCTACACAAGAGTGTAAAAACCCACAAAACCTACCACACAAGGCAAAACATTCCATTACACCATAGCCTACTTGTCAATAGTATGTTTATGTTATATAACATTTTCTGAAATTAACCATATTAAATTATTATTGTAATTGCGCACACATGGATGTCAGACATGCACCTACCCCAATGCTCTTTCTGGTGACTGGGATGAATGCAGGAGCAGATTTCAGGAGCAGGACAAGACACCTTATTTTTGACTGATGACTGACATAAGGGCATATACGTGATAGGCCTATCTGGCAAATATGATTATGATGGTCATAATGCTTCTTGACAGTGTCATAAAGTGCATCTTCTTAGTCAAAATAAATCGACACAGGATGGTTATAATGTTTTATGACAGTGTCATAAAGCGTATTTTCTACAATATTTTGTAATATATGATGAAAAAAAAAACATGACTGTAAAGAATTAATTATAACAACAACAAAGGACTTAAGAAACAAACTTTTAAACGAAAGGAAAGTTCTTGGCAGGGAAAAAACACATTTCAATAAATGTGGGTTTGACACTCTTATGTAGGTGTCATAACCAGTCATAAAATAACGCAATATATGTCACAACAGGTGTAAATATATGGGTCATGACAGTGTTATGACCATATTATGACAGGTTATGAGAAGTTACGTCAGCTACTATGACATATTATGACATGGTTATGACCGTGTCATAACACGTTACGATGCTGGGCGTCAAGTAAAGTGTTACCAAAAAGTCTTTACCAGGGTGTTAATATTCACTTTATATATTTATATTTGGCACTAAGGCACATTTCATATCACACAAGCATAGCAAACATACTGAAATGTGACGAGACAGTGAACGATAAACAGGAGTTTGCTAAACATACAACCAAATAGATAACCTGTAATTCCAACACTATTGTGTATTGAATTTTAAACCACTGTTGATGGTTACACAGTTGCCTGGGTGGTTATGAATTACATGTACTGTCTGTGTTTGTGTATGTGCATGCCTATATGTGTGTACATCTACTGTGTGTGTGTGTGTGTGTGTGTGTGTGTGTGTGTGTGTGTGTGTGTGTGTGTGTGTGTGTGTGTGTGTGTGTGTGTGTGTGTGTGTGTGTGTGTGTGTGTGTGTGTGTGTGTGTGTGTGTGTGTGTGTGTGTGTGTGTGTGTGTGTGAGCATGCCGAACAGTCGGTCTGAAACAACAGTGGCGTGATCGGTCAAGCGAGCGCCCCCTCTCACACACTGATGTTGAACCCACCCGGCTTTCCATGGGATCTGCTACATCAACATGCCCCCTTTTTACCCCAGGTCAGCTCGCTCGTTCACTCAGTCCGTCTGTGTCTCTCTCTCGCTCGCTATCCTCCTTTGGCTGCAGGGTTGTCAGGCCGAAGACTACCACCATTTGAGTTCAGGTAACAACAGCATTGATACTGTGGTTGCTAGAATGGAGGACTCATGTTTGGATCTGGGCTTAGAAAGGTTTAGCCTGCCATAGAAATTCCTTGAGGGGTGAACTGGGTTCACATCTAATTCATTCATTGCCTGTATTTTGCCCGTATCTCTGCCAACTTTTTCATGGGCTTTCTTGACGCCTACATCTGCACTGTTTTTGAGCCAGATGCATCCTAGGCTTGTATTATCTTTAAGTCTGGTTTAGAGGTTGACCATCTTGAGAAAAGGAGGATGTATTATTTTAGGGATCATCTACAAAATTGCTCTATGGTCAACACTGACACTGACAAAGCAAGTAATAACTGAACATAAACTACTGTAGGTTAAAGAAAATCTATAAGCACTTGTATTGAAATAGGTAACAAGTGGGGCCAGTATATAAAAAAAAAAATGTATTCACTAACTGTAAGTAGCTCTGGATAAGAGCGTCTGCTAAATGACTAAAATGTAAAATGTAAATGTAAGTGACAAATAATTTTAACTAGCACAGTCAGCATAAGAAATAAAGTTGATATGTTTCTACTTATGTAACTTAAGTTTGACAAGAGTTAGATCATCAATAGTGTGATCTTTACCTTTTACAGAACCTTTACCTTTTGTAGTCGGAAAACTACTCTAGGTTTCACCTGTGCCAACAAGTAAATATACAGTGCCTTCAGAAAGTATTCACACCCCTTTACTTTTTCCACATTTTGTTGTGTTACAGCCTGAATTTAAAATGGATTAAATTGAGATTTTATGTCACAATACCACATAATGTCAAAGTGGAATTTGGTTTGTAGAACATATAATAATTATTATTTTAAAATTTTTTAAGCTGAAATGTCTTAAGAGTCAGTAAGTATTCAACCCTTTTGCTATGGCAAGCTTAAATAAATTCAGGAGTAAAAATGTGCTTAACAAATTGTATAATAAGTTGCATGGACTCATTCCGTGTTCAATAATAGTGGTTAACATGATTTTTGAATGACTACCACATCTCTGTACTCCACACATGCAATTATATGTAAGGTCCCTCAATCGAGTAGTGAATTTCATGCACAGATTTCATGCAAAGACCAGGGAGGTTTTTCAATTCCTTGCAAAGAAGGGCACCGATTGGTAGATGGGTAAAAACAAAAAATAAAGCAGACATTGAATATCCCTTTGAGCATGGTGAAGCAATTAATTAGGTTTTGGATGGTGTATCAATACACCCAGTCACTATAAAGATACAGGCTTCCTTCCTAACTCAGTTGCCGGATAGATTTCAGGGATTTCATCATGAAGCCAATGGTAATTTTAAAACAGTTACAGAGTTTAATGGCTGTGATATGAGAAAACCGAGAATGGATCAACTACATAGTTACTCCACAATACTAACCTAAATGGCAGAGTGAAAAGAAGGAAGCCTGTAAAGAATCAAAAAATATTGCAAAACATGCATCTTGTTTGCAACAAGGCACTTAAGTAATACTGCAAAAAAATTGGCTAACAAATTCACTTTTTGTCCTGAATACAAAACGTTATGTTTGGGGCAAATCCAACAAAACACATCACTGAGTACCACTCTTCATATTTTGTTATGGGTATGCTTATCATCGGCAAGGACTCGTTTTTTGGGGGGATAAAACAAAACAGAATACAGATATAAGCACAGGCATAATCCTAGAGCAAAACCAAGTACAGTCTGCTTTCCAACAGACACTGGGAGACTAATTCACCTTTCAGAAGGACAATAACCTAAAACACAAGGCCAAATATACGCTGATGTTGCTTACCAAGACGACATTGAATGTTCCTGCGTGGCCGAGTTACAGTTTTAACTTAAATTGGCTTGAAAATCTTTGGCAAGACTTGAAAATGGCTGTCTAGCAATGATCAACAATCAACTTGACAGAGCGTGAAGAGTTTAAAAAAGAATAATGTGCAAATATTGTACAATCCAGGTGTGCAAAGCTCATAGAGACTTACCCAAAAAGACTCACAACTGTAATCGCCACCAAAGGTGTTTCTACAAAGCATTGACTCAGGGGTGTGAATACTTATGTAAATGAGATATTTCTGTATTTCATTTTCAATAAATTTGCTAAAATTTCTAAAAACATGTTTTTACTTTGTCATTATGGGGTATTATGTGTAGATGGGTGATAAAAAATATATTTAATCAATTTTGAATTCAGGCTGTAACACAACAAAATGTGGAATAAGTCAAGGGGTATGAATACTTTCTGAAGGCGCTGTAGTTCCAATTGAAATAAGCACCTGATCGCCTCCCAAAAAAAGCAGAAAAACATGTATATCTGTTGGCATTTGCGCCTCTTACAAAAACCAAAAGAGCAACCGTCTGATATTAAAGTTGCTTGTCTTGCTTTCAAATAATATGTTTTGTTAACATTGTATAAAAACTTTCATGAATAAGCATTCATAAACCACTTAATAGTTGAAATGCTATTGATATAATTTATTTAATAAATAATGTCATTGTTTTATTAACATTATAAAGCATTTATAAGCATGTAATACACATTTATAACAATTTCTAATGGTGGCTTATTCATGAAAGCTATTGTAATGTTATGTTTTGACTGTGTAGCCTAGGTGTAGCATCTTGTCACATCTAAAATGTTTTGACTGTACTGGAGAGTTTTATCCTACCAAACTCAAACTCAAATGTTTTGGCATAGAAATGTTTTCATATTCAACAAATGGTTGTTTTATATTAAAATACAGATAATATTATAACTGGGATTCAGAGGCACATTTGAACTAGTAATTATTTGTAGAACTAATAAACACCTACACGTCTGGGACCTGGTAGAATAGAACTACATGTATTCTGAACATTTAAACAGAATAGTGTAAAAAATTATACTGTGTTCGCTATTTATAGATTCTAAAAGATTTGGGACACTACGCAGTTAAGGAAACCTATCTCCTGCTCCTATCTCCTGCTCCTGCAATGGGGTGTGAATGTTGGCTCAACTAAAAGTAGAAGCAAAAATTCTAAAGCCCCAATTAAACAATCAGAAACGTTTACCTTTTTCAAAAACGAAATAGACTTTGTGGGTGAAATTTCTATATTGCGTTTTTTGATTATCTGAACAGCATATTGTTAGAATTACCTAATTTCCATCTGGTTATTGGGACAGACATTAATGCCATTTTGGACATGCGGGTCAAATCTAATAAGACCAACTACAATTCACATGCAACCATGGCTCTCTAGTATACAGTGAGGGAAAAAAGTATTTGATCCCCTGCTGATTTTGTACGTTTGCCCACTGACAAAGACATTATCAGTCTATAATTTTAATGATAGGTTTATTTGAACAGTGAGCGACAGAATAACAACAACAAAATCCAGAAAAACGCATGTCAAAAATGTTAAAAATTGATTTGCATTTTAATGAGGGAAATAAGTATTTGACCCCTCTGCAAAACATGACTTAGTACTTGGTGGCAAAACCCTTGTTGGCAATCACAGAGGTCAGACGTTTCTTGTAGTTGGCCACCAGGTTTGCACACATCTCAGGAGGGATTTTGTCCCACTCCTCTTTGCAGATCTTCTCCAAGTCATTAAGGTTTTGAGCCTGACGTTTGGCAACTCAAACCTTCAGCTCCCTCCACAGATTTTCTATGGGATTAAGGTCTGGAGACTGGCTAGGCCACTCCAGGACCTTAATGTGCTACTTCTTGAGCCACTCCTTTGTTGCCTTGGCTGTGTGTTTTGGGTCATTGTCATGCTGGAATACCCATCCACGACCCATTTTCAATGCCCTGGCTGAGGGAAGGAGGTTCTCACCCAAGATTTGATGGTACATGGCCCCGTCCATCGTCCCTTTGATGCGGTGAAGTTGTCCTGTCCCTTTAGCAGAAAAATACCCCCAAAGCATAATGTTTCCACCTCCATGTTTGACGGTGGGGATGGTGTTCTTGGAGTCATAGGCAGCATTCCTCCTCCTCCAAACACGGCGAGTTGAGTTAATGCCAAAGAGCTCGATTTTGGTCTCATCTGACCACAACACTTTCACCCAATTCTCCTCTGAATCATTCAGATGTTCATTGGCAAACTTCAGAAGGGCCTGTATATGTGCTTTCTTGAGCAGGGGGACCTTGCGGGCGCTGCAGGATTTCAGTCCTTCACGGCGTAGTGTGTTACCAATTGTTTTCTTGGTGACTATGGTCCCAGCTGCCTTGAGATCATTGATAAGATCCTCCCGTGTAGTTCTGGGCTGATTCCTCACCATTGTCATGATCATTGCAGATCTTGCATGGAGCCCCATGCCGAGGGAGATTGACAGTTATTTTGTGTTTCTTCCATTTGCGAATAATCGCACCAACTGTTGCCACCTTCTCACCAAGCTGCTTGGCGATGGTCTTGTTGCCCATTCCAGCCTTGTGTAGGTCTACAGTTCTAGGCCCTCTCCTATTCTCGCTATACACCAAGTCACTTGGCTCTGTCATATCCTCACATGGCCTCTCCTATCATTGCTACGCTGACGACACACAACTAATCTTCTCCTTTCCCCCTTCTGATAACCAGGTGGCGAATCGCATCTCTGCATGTCTGGCAGACATATCAGTATGGATGACGGATCACCACCTCAAGCTGAACCTCGGCAAGACGGAGCTGCTCTTCCTCCCGGGGAAGGACTGCCCGTTCCATGATCTCGCCATCACGGTTGACAACTCCGTTGTGTCCTCCTCCCAGAGTGTGAAGAGCCTTGGCGTGACCCTGGACAACACCCTGTCGTTCTCCGCTAACATCAAGGCGGTGACCCGATCCTGTAGGTTCATGCTCTACAACATTCGGAGAGTACGACCCTGCCTTACACAGGAAGCGGCACAGGTCCTAATCCAGGCACTTGTCATCTCCCGTCTGGATTACTGCAACTCGCTGTTGGCCGGGCTCCCTGCCTGTGCCATTAAACCCCTACAACTCATCCAGAATGCCGCAGCCCGTCTGGTGTTCAACCTTCCCAAGTTCTCTCACGTCACCCCCGCTCCTCCGCACACTCCACTGGCTTCCAGTTGAAGCTCGCATCTGCTACAAGACCATGGTGCTTGCCTACGGAGCTGTGAGGGGAACGGCACCTCCGTACCTTCAGGCTCTGATCAGTCCCTACACCCAAACGAGGGCACTGCGTTCATCCACCTCTGGCCTGCTGGCTCCCCTACCTCTGCGGAAGCATAGTTCCCGCTCAGCCCAGTCAAAACTGTTCGCTGCTCTGGCACCCCAATGGTGGAACAAGCTCCCTCACGACGCCAGGACAGTGGAGTCACTCACCACCTTCCGGAGACATTTGAAACCCCACCTCTTTAAGGAATACCTGGGATAGGATAAAGTAATCCTTCTACGCCCCCCCCCCCCTTTACTCCAACCCCCCCCCCCCCCCCCCCCCCCCCAACCCCCCCCCAACCCCCCCCCCCCCCCCCCCCCCCCCAAAAAAGAGAAAAAAAGAAAACATTGTAAAGTGGTTATCCCACTGGCTATAAGGTGAATGCACCTATTTGTAAGTCGATCTGGATAAGAGCGTCTGCTAAATGACGTAAATGTAAATGTAAATGTATTTCTGATCAAGTTGATGTTACCCCAAACCTGTGAACGGTAGTGTATATTAATGGAAATTGATATTGTACCTGTAACCACCCCAACAAAACATGACAAAACAATTCCTGTATTGCTACTAATCTAAAACTAAAGCACCAAACAATTTCCCTGAGATTAATTTGTGCTTTCTTTTCTTGCCCCCAAACTCAGTCCCCATTTATATAACTGAAGAATCAGACATGACAAGCACCAAAGGAGTCCCCAGGATGGGGAAGATGCTTATCGAGCTGATGACCCTACTGGGGTGAGTATCTTGTTTCAAAGGTAGTCAAGGGTTGTGTCTCAATAGTCTTGAATAGTTTAAGGAGACTCCCCGTCTTCTTTCCTTCATTAGCACTAATCTGAAATGACTGGAGAGGACAAAACAATACAGAAGAGACCAAACTAAGACTTCTGTAGTTATGAAGCAAAGGAGATAAGGAGAGGACGTCATTCAGGAGAATTTAGACACAACTCTAGAGAAGTAGTGTAAGAGTGGTGTGAGAGTCAGTTGTCAGTATAATAATTAGCTAACTTTGGGAGTAGGTAATGACACTGATCTAATTGCCCACCAGGGCTGTTGGCTTGAGCAACAGCGCCATCCAGAGGCCTGACTACGACAACACTCCAGCCCCCGAGTTCCTCAACCCTTCCTGGATGGCGGGCCTCCCGGACAGCCTCCCGCTGTCCGAGGTCACCATGCCTGGCACCCACAACACCATGGCCATCTACGGCGGCGCCTTGGCCGAGTGCCAGTCCTGGAGCCTGGCGTCGCAGCTTCGTGCCGGTGTGCGTTTCCTGGACGTGCGTGTGCGCCATGTGCGTGGCAACCTCACCATCCACCATGGCGTGTCCTACCAGCGGGCGCACTTCGGCGACGTGGTGGAGGGCGTGGCTGACTTCCTACGTGAGTACCCCAGTGAGACGGTGCTGATGCGGCTCAAGGAGGAGTTCAGTGAGACCTTCGACATCTACGGTGCGGTGATCAGCTACATTCACCTCTATGCCGACTGGGACCTGCTGTGGCACAGTCGGCTCATGCCAACTGTGGGACAGGCCAGAGGGAAGCTCATTGTCCTCCAGGACTTTGGCGGACCTGACCTTGGCATGCGCTACGGCTCCCTGGACATTGCGGACAACTGGAAGGTGAGGAGACCGTCATTTTGGAAATGAAATTGTGGCTAGGCATTTTTATTGAGTCTCATATGCTTGTTGTCTCCCCAGGTCCCCACCCTCCTGCATGTGGCTGAGAAATGGCAAAGTGTGCACGAACACCTGGAGGCTGCCCCTGTGGGCAACAAGGCCTATATCTTCCTCACCTATAGCAGCGGGGCGGGCATCTTTGCCTACCCCAACGCCATCGCCCAGCGAATCAACGCCCTTCTGTACGACTACCTGATCGCACAGATAGGGCAGAACAGGCGCTTCGGAATCATCACCATGGACTTCCCCGCCGCTCCCCTCCTTCAAATGATCATCAGCTTCAACTGAGAGAGAGGTCCCTAATCTACTAAACCTGCTACCATACAATCAACATAGACACACTCAAATTAAAATTGTTGGGACACTACATGAGGATTGGGAGTCAATTTTGCACATTGCATGCTTGTTTTCACTATGCCTTGACACTTAATTAAGCAGTTGTTTATTGGTGAGGTTGTCATCTCTCTTGACTTTCCACCAAGGGGGCAAAACTGGTTACAATGACGTCAGACTGATGTATTTTCTGACATCATGGTCAGGTTGTATACTAATTGCAAAAGGAAATAAGACATCATAAACTGCTTATCATCTGGTCTCCACAACCAGAAAATCAGATACAACCAGAAAATTATGTTGTTAAAATGTCCGATACCAAATTTGGATGGCTGGGCAGGTGTTCATGGATGAGTCGCAACTCTAATTTGTGTTGCACCTCATCAAGAAAATAACTATATGAGTTAACTATCACTATTTAAAAGGGATAGTTCACTCCAAAATCAAAGTTTGTCAGATGTTTTCGGACCTCAAAAGTTGTCTAATGTCGAGATTAATCTATGTCCCACACCATCTGTTGTGTAAATCCAGCCACAGCCCTAGTATGCCTATGGTGCCCATCTTTCTCATTCATATTGGGATTGATGCATATAGCTGGACCTACACAACAGATGGCCTGGGACATGGACTCATCTCAACAGTAGATCTGAAAATGTCTGATAAACTTTGATTTTGGAGTGAACATTTACTTTAAGTGTTGATGCTCAAAGAAAACTGCCACATTTGGGAAGAATGCCACACCACAAAACATGAACTCAAAACAGTATTTTCTGACAAGTTATTGATTTCAATCCGTACATGTGGTATTGTTTATTATCTGTTGGACAGTGATGTCATTAAGATATTAACCACTTTTGAACCCAGCAGTGTTTCAGTCACAACAATGACACAATGGCTGTATGATTGGACAGGCTATTCAAAATTGTCAATAGAAATAAATTGCTTTTATCCGCATAAAATGTATGCTTTGTTTGTGAATGGACTTGAATTGACTGAATGGAGATTTTGAAAGAAAACAGCTGTAGAAATAATTTACCTGTGTTCAAGCAGGTGTGATGACAACAACTTTCACACACTGAAACCTTGGCTTTTATTGTTATGAATAAGTAAATAAATATCAACCCTAGTTTGACCAAAAACATTACTATGCCTATTTATAGATATATTCTTAGTGTAGGGGTACCATGACCTGTGTTTCAAGCAGGTGCGATGATAGTAATTTTCCCACAATGAAACCGTTGCTTTTATCGTTATGAATCAGTAAATAAATACCAAACCTAGTTTGACCTAAAACATTACTATGCACATTAGGAGTACACCACATCAGTCACTGGCTTCATCAATAAGTGCATCAATGATGTCGTCCCCATAGTGACCGTACGTACATACCCCAACCAGAAGCCGTGGATTACAGGAAACATCCGCACTGAGCTAAAGGGTAGAGCTGCCGCTTTCAAGGAGCGGGACTCTAACCCGGACGCTTATAAAAAATCCCGCTATGCTCTCCGACGAACCATCAAACAGGCAAAGAGTCAATACAGGACTAAGATAGTAATACACCGGCTCTGACGCTTGTCGGATGTGGCAGGGCTGAAAACTATTACAGACTACAAAGGGTAGCACAGCCGCGAGCTTCCCAGTGACACAAGACTTCCAGACGAGCTAAACCACTTCTATGCTCGCTTCGAGGCAAGCAACACTGAAGCATGCATGAGAGCACCAGCTGTTCCAGATGTCTATGTGATCACGCTCTCCGTAGCCGATGTGAGTAAGACTTTTAAGCAGGTCAACATTCACAAGGTCGCAGGGCCAGACGGATTACCAGGACGTGTACTCCGAGCATGTGCTGACCAACTGGCAAGTGTCTTCACTGACATTTTCAACATGTCCCTGACTGAGTCTGTAATACCAACATGTTTCAAGCAGACCACCATAGTCCCCGTGCCCAAGGACACTAAGATAACCTGCCTAAATGACTACCGACCCGTAGCACTGACGTCTGTAGCCATGAAGTGCTTTGAAAGGCTGGTCATGGTTCACATCAACACCATTATCCCAGAAACCCTAGACCCACTCCAATTTGCATACCGCCCCAACAGATACACAGATGATGCAATCTCTATTGAACTCCACACTGCCTTTCCCACCTGGACAAGAGGAACACCTAAGTGATCCTAGACTTCCTGACGGGCCGCCCCCAGGTGTTAAGGGTAGGTAACAACACATCTGCCACACTGATCCTCAACATGGGGGCCCCTCAGGGGTGCGTGCTCAGTCCCCTCCTGTACTCCCTGTTCACCCATGACTCCATGGCCAGGCACGACTCCAACACCATCATTAAGTTTGCCGACGACACAACAGTGGTAGGCCTGATCACCGACAACGATGAGACAGCCTATAGGGAGGAGGTCAGATACCTGTCCGTGTGGTGCCAGGATAACAACCTCTCCCTCAACGTGACCAAGACAAAGGAGATGATTGTGGACTACAGGAAAAAAAGAGGACTGAGCACGCCCCCATTCTCATCGACGGGGCTGTAGTGGAACAGGTTGAGAGCTTCAAGTTCCTTTGTGTCCACATCACCAACAAACTATCATGGTCCAAACACACCAAGACAGTCGTGAAGAGGGCACGACAAAGCCTATTCCCCCTCAGGAGACTGAAAAGATTTGGCATGGGTCCTCAGATCCTCAAAAAATTATACAGCTGCACCATCGAGAGCATCCTGACTGGTTGCATCACCACCTGGTATGGCAACTGCTTGGCCTCCGACCGCAAGGCACTACAGAGGGTAGTGCGTACGGCCCAGTACATCACTGGGGCCAAGCTTCCTGCCATCCAGGACCTCTATACCAGGCGGTGTCAGAGGAAGGCCCTCAAAATTGTCAAAGACTCCAGCCACCCTAGTCATAGACTGTTCTCTCTGCTACCGCACAGCAAGCGGTACCGGAGTGCCAAGTCTAGGTCCAAAATAATTCTCAACAGCTTCTACCCCCAAGCCATAAGACTCCTGAATCAGCTAATCATGGCTACCCAGACTATTTGCACTGCCCCCCCCCCCCCCACCCCCACCCCACACCCCATCTTTTTACGCTGCTGCTACTCTGTTAATTATTTATGCATAGTCACTTTAACTCTACCCACATGTACATATTACTTCAACTACCTCAACTAGCCGGTGCCCCCGCACATTGACTCTGCACCGGTACCCCCCTGTATATATAGCCTCCCTACCAGGGGCGGTGTGTTCATTAGGGCGATATGGGCGACGCACTGCCAAACGGGAAAAGGAAGGGATTTTTTTTCTAATCAATTATATCACGGCAACAGTAGTTATCAGTGTTCTAATCTAGACGTCTGATCTGCCACTAAATGTCCAATCAGGCTAAAGTCGTGCTTCAAATGGCCCCGCCCCTTTTGGGGCGATTTCAGTCAGGTTTAAAATCGCCCCAGAAGTCTCTCATAGACTCTCATGTAAAATCTTTTTTTTTCAAATATCAGAGCTTTCAATACAATCTCTATGGGTTCCGGGAGGGCTTGCACTTACGCGCTTTCGTCATACGTAACATAACCATGAACGTAACTAAGAAAAGAGCGGGTAGCAGCGTCAATCAATTCACATACTACTGTCAAGATGGCTAGCGTTCAGTGCAACTCGATTGTCTCTTTGAAAGAAGTTCCTTTTTGTCGGCGAACAAATCAAGATAAATTGGCAACGAAACAATTAGGACCTCCCAGACCAAATTTAATAATTCAACAGGTTTCTACTAAAGGGGGAAAGTCCTACACCCGAGGATTTTCCAAAAATTGGTACGAACGAAAAACCTGGCTAGCAGGCTGCGATGTAGCTAATGCAGTCTTCTGCTACCCCTGCTTACTCTTTCACCCTGAAGGCGGCACGGCAGACAGCACCGCTTGGACAGCGATTGGTGTAACGGACATGCACCATCTTTCAGAAAAGATTAAGAAACATGAGCTGTCAAAGACCCACATGGATAGCTGTTTGAGATTGTCTGCTTTGGGGAGAGTGAACATTGCCACTCAACTGGATGAGGGATACAGGCTAGCTGTCCGCCGCCACAACGATGAGGTTAGCAAGAACCGCCACATCCTCAGCCGGCTAATCCAGTGTGTGAAGTTTTGCGGAGTGTTTGAGTTAGCTTTGCGAGGCAAAGATGAAACTGAGGGCTCCACCAACCCTGGTATTTTTCTTGGACTTGTCAACTTTGTGGCACAATTAGATGAGGTGTTTTATGGAAATGCATATTGTTTATGCAGTGTTGAGGAATGTGAAAGAACACCCTTGATTATTTTTACTGTGATAACATATTTTGCTTTTGTAAGCCAACACTTTTGAGATCAGTCAATAAATGCTTCTGGTATTGACTTATATGCTGCCCCTGTCTTCATGTTGTTGCTGGACATATCTTTTTTAAAATGTGTGTAGGTCACCTAAATCATCAGAAAAATTGCCCCCCCTGAGAATTTTTTCAGGAGCCGCCACTGCTCCCTACTGTTATTTTATTTTACTTCTGCTCTTTTTTTCTCAACACTTTTTTGTTGTTGTTTTATTTTACTTTTTTATTAAAAATAAATGCACTGTTGGTTAAGTGCTGTAAGTAAGCATGTCACTGTAATGTCTGCACCTGTTGTATTCGGCGCATGTGGCCAATAACATTTGATTTGATTTGATTTGATATATACATGTACAGTGCCTTCGGAAAGTATTCAGACCCCTTGACTTTTTCCACATTTTGTTACGTTACAACCTTATTCTAAAATGTATTAAATAAATGTTTTGCCTCATCAATCTATACACAATACCCCATAATGACAAAGCGAAAACAGGTTTCTAGATATTTTTGCTCATTTATTAAATATAAAAAACAGAAATAACTTATTTACATAAATATTCAGACCCTTTGCTATGGGACTCGAAATTGAGCTCAGTTGCATCCTGTTTCCGTTGATCATCCTTGAGATGTTTCTACAACTTGATTGAAGTGCAGCTGTGGTAAATTCAACTGATTGGACATGATTTGGAAAGGCACACACCTGTCTATATAAGGTCCCACGGTTGACAGTGCATGTCAGAGCAAAAACCAAGCCATGAGGTTGAAGGAATTGTCCGTAGGCACAGATCTGGGGAAGGGTACCAAAAAATTTCTGTAGCATTGAAGGTCCCCAAGAACACAGTGGCCTCCATCATTCTGTGATGAGGTGAATGAAGGAGTCAGGCGCAGGAGGTGATACACCGAAGTCCAGAGTTTATTCCGTTTACATAAATAAAACGCACCTAGCGTCAATACGAAACTATCACAAGGGAAATATTCCACCTTGGCAATAACAAATGGAAGAGTAGCTCAACCGCTCTCACAATGAAACAATCACTCACAAAGACAAGGGGAACAGAGGGAACACTTATACACATACGAATTAGGGGAATGAGCACCATGTGTGTGTGATTGACAAGACAAGACATGACAAGTGGAGTGATGAGAATGGGATCGGCAGTAGCTAGTAA